AATCAACTTCATAAGAATAATATGGAAGAGGTGTGGTTAGACTGTAGTTTGTTCTGAAGAAAATCTGGACATTTTGTTGAGCGGTAGTCTCAATGAGAGTTAGCTGTGTAATGTGATAAATAAAAAAGCTCATGTGATCTCTTGGGCTGCAGGAAGTAGGATATAGCTTCTAGTAGGAGGGACACTGAAGTCTTCCAGGAGGAGTGGATGGAATTTACAAGGAAGCATATTTAGGCTTGATATCAGAAAAGGTTTCCTAACAATTTCAACTGTCCAAAAATGGAATGGGCTGCCTTGACAGATTTTGGGTTCCCTTTCCTTAGAGGTCTTCAGATAAAGGCTGGATGCTCACTTGTTGGACATGTCATTGTGGGGATTCTGTTTTTGTATGTGCTGGACTAGATGGCAGCTCAGTTCCTTCCCAATTCTCAAATTCTGTGGGTCTGTGAATTTTAGGGCTGTGTAAGACTTTTTTTTTTTAAAGAATATTAGTACTAGAAAAGCCCATAGTCTTCTACTGTAACTCTCATTTCTTCTTTTTTTAAAGAGATTTTTACAAATATATTTTATTTTTACATTGCCTAGATTCCCCACCCTATATCCCTCTCAATTCTCCTTCTCAGATACTCAATCCTTGTAACAAAGAATTTTTAAAAAAAAAAATAGGAAGAGCATTTTAAAAACTTCAGCAAAATCAATCCATACTTTAAAAAGCTGACATTAGGTACATTGTTCCACACCTGCAGAGTTGTTTTCTCATTTCTTTGGGGCTAAGCTCATTCTTTATAATTTTGCAACATTAATTTTTGATTGTTTTGTGGTTGTTCTTTCCATTGTTGTAGTCATTGTATGTTGTTTTCCAGGCTCTGCTCACTTCACTTAACATCAGTCCACAGGTACAGCTTTCCATGATTCTCTATATTCGTCATGTTTGTCATTTCAGCCCAATAATTTTCCATTCCATTCCTATACCATAATTTGTTTACTCATTCCCCCAGTCAATGGATATCTATTTTATTTCCAGTTCTTTGCTACCACAAAAAGTGCTGCTATAAATATTTTAGCCTGTAAGGTGCCTTTCTCTTTTTTTAAACGACCTCCTTAGGTAGACACCCTCATTTTACAGGTGATGATTTTGAGGTCACTTGTTAAAGATCACAGAGCTAGTAAGTGACAGACTGACAAATATTTGCCTCTGTATTTAAGGAACATACAGTAGTTCCACAAACTTCAGGAACTTTCCTAGTAGCATACTAATTTTATTAATCTGTGTGTCCCTAGCTTTATATATTTTGTGTATTCTTAATAAGTTCTATTTATATAATTTAAAGACTATATTTAACTGAAGATAACCATCACTTTAATAGAATTCTGTAATAGTTCCTTTTGCAAAATAGAAGGGCAGAGATAGGCCTGAATGGAACCCTACTTGGCTGTGCCTTTCTTCTGTTTCGATAAATAAGTCTTGGACAGTGTAATTTGAGAATTACTTTACACACTAATGCATTGTTGGTGGAGTTGTGAAATGATCCAACCATTTTGGTGAGCAACTTGGAACTATGCCCAAAGGGCTATAAAACTGTGCATACCTTTTGACCCAGCAATAGCACTTCTAGTGCTGTATCCCAAAGAGATCATACAAATGGGAAAAGGACCCACATGTACAAAAATATTTATAGCAGCTCTTTTTGTGGTGGCAAAGAATTGGAAATTGAGAGGATACCCATCAATTGGGGAATGGCTGAACAAGTTGTGGTATATGAATGTAATGGAATACTATTGTGCATACTTCAGAAAAACCTGGAAAGACTTGCATGGACTGATGCTGAGTGAAGTGAGCAGAACCAGGAGAACGTTGTACACAGTAACAGCCACATTGTGCGATGGCTAACTTTGATAGACTTAGCACTTCTCAGCAATGCAAGGATCTAAGACATCTCCAAAGGCCTTATGATGGAAAAGGCCATCCAAAGAAAGAACTATGGAGTTTGAAAGCAGATTGAAGCATACTGTTTGCTCTTTTTTTCTTCTGTTTTGTTTTGTTTTCTCTTTCTTGTGGTTCCTTCTATGGTTCTAATTCTTCCTTACAACATCACTAATGTGAAAATATATTTGATAGGAATGTATATGTATAGCCTATATTAGATTGTGAGCTGTCTTGGGGAGGGAGGGGGAGAAAAATTTAAAACTCAAAAGCTTATGGAAGTGATTGTTGAAAAATCAAAATAAATTAATTTAAAAAAAAAAAGAAGAAGAAGAAAAATTACTTTCCCCCCTGACCCTATGGATGCTGTGGAGAAGCTCCAGGCCTGGGGTTTGGTTTTCTTGTTTTGAAGTTGGGCTTTTTTTCTTTTTTTTTTTTTTCCTCTCATGTGTTCCCTCAGTAAAATGAATAAAGGATATTGAGATGTAAACTTAAAACCTAGTATGAAATGTGAGTTAAATAGTAAATTTATATGATGAAAGACCAAGTGGCCCAGATGGCAGGAGACCTATATTCTATTACTGTCTCTAATAATTGTTTGACCTTGGGCAAGTCAGTGAGTCATTAAACATTTATTAAGCTCCTACTATATACCAGGCCCCTTGATAAGTGCTTAGGATACAATTATGAAAAAGACAGTTCCTGCCTTACAAGGTGCTGATGATATAGTGGGGGAAGTCAACATGCAAAAGGAAGCTGAAGAGGGGTGCTGGAGAAGGAGCATGATGAGAAAGCCAAAGAATACAGCCAGGTGGAGAATAAATAGGGTTACTTACCATTTCTGAACTCCAGTAAAATGGGCTCATCAATAAAATGAGAGTGTGGGGCTAAGAGGATTCTTAAAGTTCCTTCCTGCCCTGTGAATCTGAGTCCGATAATTCCTGCTTCATCTGTGCTGCACAGTAATGTCATGAGGATGAATGAGGACTTAATAAAAATATCTGGAAGCTCCTCGGAGAGAGTTGCTATAGAAACATAAGGGGGAGTAGAATTGCTTTAAAGAGGGGATGTCGGGGAAAGTCCTGTTCTGATTGTTGCCTTCAGAAGCCTGACATCCACTTTGGACATATGTGGATTTGAGCACAGCCATAATTCTAACATTGGCGTGTGTCTGTACTATTAGAGAGAGAGAGAGAGAGAGAGAGAGAGAGAGAGAGAGAGAGAGAGCGAGCACTCAGGATTCAAATCATACTACCTGTATGATCTTGGGCAAATAACCTCTTTGTTTCTCATTTTCTTCATCTGTAAAATGAAGAGGTCAAATTAGATCATCTCTAGTTTTTCCTGTGGGCTCTAAATCTTACGATCCTATAATGTTTGCTCTGTAGCGTACAGCAGGGTGGGAAATGCGCAGTGTGGTCTCTCCCAATATTTGAAAAATGTTGTAACAAAAATGTCAAGATTCAAGCCATTGGTACTAGAAGAAAGAATATTGCCAGGAAGCTGACTGCTTAGTAATCACGGTGATTCTCTTTCTGGAGGAGAATGACATAGATCTGTCAAATTTTTATGGGAAGTAGGAAAGGAGCAGACACATCAGTAAATAGCCAATGTTTGTTTACTGAATGTCTTAGCGTTATTGTATGCTTACCATTTGTGCTTGCCACTGTGGAAGGAAGATACCAATGAATATAGTGTCCCCAAAACTTTAATAGCTTAAAATAGCACCAAGACTTTTAGGACATCTTATATAAGATAGGGCCCCTGCCTTCAAAGAGGCTAACATCCATGAGATAGAGAATAAAAGTTAGGATGCAATTAAGAGAACATTTCAGCCGGGGGGAGCAGGATCCATTGACAAGCTGTTATTAAATGCCTACTATGTGACATGGGCGTAATGTTAGCACCTGTCTCCCAGGGCTATTGTGATGATAAAATGAGATGATATTTGTAAGACACTTTAGTGCTGTACCTGTGCTTATTAAGTGCTTGTTTCCTCCTTCCCTCTTTCCTTCCTTCCTTCGAGGCACTGTGGACATACCAAGAGAAAAATGAAACACTTATTGAACTCAGGGAGCTTATATTCTCTCAAGAGAGATAACATTATAAGACTAACTATGTAGTATAAGCAGAGGCACAAAAGCAAGACTTACAACATGTGGAAGACAATATGGAAACTGATTTGACTGGTGATAATGGTCCATGGGGCTAGATTAGACTATGAAGGCAGACTAAGGCTTTACAGAAGTGAAGACTTCCTAATCATAGAGCTCTCAAAAAGGAGGATGGGTTACGGATTGTACTGGTTGGTAATGGGTTCCCTCTTACTTAGAGGCCTTCAGGCAAAATTTGGGTGGCCACTTTTGGGTGATGTAAAGAAGAGGCTATCTACATATAGGTTGCATTAGATGACCTCTGAGGTCGTTGTAACTCTGGGATTCTGTGAAAAGCAGACAGAAAAGCACTAGAACAGGGGTTCCTAATCTTTTTTGTGTGTTGGCCCTGACTGGCAATCTGTTAGAGCCTGATTCTACTGTTCTGTGGTTTGTTGCCTACATTCATAATGGAAAGAAATGCCAATTTTAGTTAAAGGTTAGTGAAAATAGTGATTTGATTTTTTTCCTGTCCAAGTTGACATCCAGGTTAAGAACCGCTTCACTAGAGGGATCTCTTGACCTCTTTTATCATGATAATTCTCATCAAATGAGGGAACTCTGGGAACAGGGCACTTTAACAAGTAAACTTCTATGTTGTGTCCAGAGAAGACAATGAACCCGTTTTGGCCTGGGCCACAGGATTTGTAGTTATCCTAAAAGAAGGAAATTTATCCTGTAAACTGCTGGAACTGTTTGGCACAATATTGGAGGAGGGGGTGGGGATAGGAGAGTGGAGGAGAGAGGAGGAGAAGAAGGGACAAATGATAAACAAATGAGACATTCTTGCCAAAGGAAGCCATTTCAGGGGAGAAAATTGTTTTTGTTGAATCCTTGTCTACAAAAATATTATGGCTTTCAAGTTTATGCTTTGTGCTAACAACAACGTTTTAATAATTCTTCTCTCTTTTCTTTCTTCACAGACCTTTGTAGTACTAAACAGAGGGAAAACACTCTTCCGATTTAGTGCCACACCTGCCTTGTACATTTTAAGTCCTTTTAACCTGTTGAGGAGAATAGCTATTAAAATTTTGATACATTCATATCCTTTTCTGCAAATATTAAAACTGGGCACTGATTGTAGTCTCACTTAAAGCCTCCCTTGATTTTCTCATTTCTTGAAGACTGAATTTAGATGTAGGTTTCTGGGGAATGTGCATACTTTTGGGTATGTGCTATGCTTTGAATATAAGTGTATGATGTTAAGTCATTTGTCTCAATAACCTTAAAAATGGGGAAAAACATTTCTTATTTACCTTAAATTATTCATATAATAGAAAGATCAAAGACAAATATGAAAACCTAGGTAAAAGAATTAGCAGCTTTACTTAGATACTTCATACTTTTATAGTCATTATCACTCTGACAGCAGTTTAACTGTGACTGACACATTTGTCCAGGGTTTCCCATCAGATGCTCCTGAAGATGTTATCTTTGTCTCCAGTAAGATAAGATGAGAGAGTTAGTAGCTGTTTAGCCCATTAAAACCAGAAGTTGCTCAGCTGCTTTCTTTTAATTATTTTTTGGAGGCAAGCAGCAGAAATAATAAAATAATCTTTGGGTTGATATTGATTAGTAGAGGTAAGGGGGCAGCTAGGTGGTGCAGTGGAGAAAGTGACAGGCCTGAAGTCAGGAAGACTTGTCTTCATGGGTTCAAATCTGGCCTCAGACGTTTGACTAGCTGTGTGACTCTGGGCAAGTCACTTTACCCTGTTTGCCTCTATCTGTAAAATGAAGTAAAGAAGGAAATGGCAAAACACTCCATTATCTTTGCCAAGAAAACCCCAAATGGGGTCACAAAGAGTCAGACACAACTGAACTACACAATACAAAAACAAAAAAGGAGAGATAAGCCCTAGGGAAGTTTATGGTAGAGGAAAGAATTCATCCCATTTTCCCTCACTGGCTGCAGGAACAGCAGTGTGTAAGGTTTTCTCTCATCTCTGGTCCCAAATAACATTTTCACAGGATCAGGGAGCTTAGAGCTGGGAGGGTGACCCCAGAGGTCTTCCAGACCAACCTCCTCATTTTTTGTTATGCCTTCTGGGAGATGTAGGTTGAAAGTGGGTTTAATCTTTCTGGGGGGAAAAAAAAACACCAGTAGCAGAAAAAAAGATGGAGAAAAAAAATCAGCTTGCATAAAATGGGAAACAGTTTCTGTGCTTGCTAAAGTGACAGCTTGAATACCCTTGGCAACACTCTTGCTACTTTAAACCTGAGTTTAAATCAAAGAGGATTCAGTGACACAGTAACTTTTCCTGATAGCCGTGGGCCAGAAAAGGATAGGAAAAGGTGGCTAATTGGATTAATGTGTCCGCTGAAGTCATTTAATAGGCTTGTGTGGCCCTGGGTGCTTCTAAAATTGTCAGCATTCCTCAGACTTAAAAGTTTTCTACGGTTACAGATATTTTTGTGATCCTTAGCTCACAGGCTTCTAGCTGGTTTCTCCATACTAGGGCACTAGAGGGGTCCTTGGCACTGCTTTCACCCCAGGCACCATCCAACCCTTCAAGACCTTAGAGCTGTGCTGTTTACTCATGCTGAAAGTTCTGCATGTGAAATATATTGTCAGGAAAAAATGTAAGCAATTACCCATGCTCAGATTTCCTTAGCCTTTTTATCTCAGTAAATAAATAAAATAAATATCTCCAGTCTTTGTAGGAAAGGCAGATTGGTGGCCTGGTACATTTTAGTAATGATTTGCCATTCAGTCTTGGAAGGCAATTTGAATCATTGCAATGTAAGGCATTTAGTGGATTTTTTTTCTTCCTTTCCTAGGTTCCCACAGTGTGGGGGTGGGGGAGGGGGTGCTGAGAAAGTGGTTAGTCTACCAAAAGGGAGCAGGATGGTTTCAGGCTCTCTCTAAAGGAAGGAATGGCATCCCACCCCCATTTCAAGCCCTGGTTAGGCGTTGAATGAATTTGTGATGTGCTGGTTTTCATTCCCCTGTGACCTGTAGTTATCCTGCCTTGGTCAGGCTTCTGAGGGTTGAATGATTTGATGTCATGATGTGCTGTGGAAATGTGTGTGCTTTGTGAACATGGCTGCTTCCATGTGTTTTCCCTTGACTGCTTTCTACAGTATTTAGCATGATCATTATGTGCACTATTTTGACCAACTGTGTATTCATGACTTTTAGTAACCCTCCAGACTGGTCGAAGAATGTGGAGTAAGTAACTGTTTTCTTTCTGATTTGTCATCCACCTTGATGTCTCCTTCAAGGACAAGGAAGTAGCTGTTACCTCCTCACTGTTTCGTAGGGAAAGGTGATGATTAGTAAGATATTCGAGCAATGTTCTAAACTTGGGGGGGGGAACTGGGTCTCCTCCCATACTTTCTTCTTCCTATAATTAGATTCCTCCCCCCACTCCCCACCCAAAGTTCAGAGTAGCTTTGTTGAGTGCTGCCTCTCAGCAGTTCAGAGTCATGGTATTTGGAGCATCCCTGGAGGGCAGCATGGAGGTGCTTCCTTGGGTTCGAACATTTCATTATACTGTCAGAGGTTTCCTTTTCACCTGTTACTCTTTCATCTTTTGGGGGTGGGAGGGATTAAGTCACATGAATGTTCATTGAAATGGCCAATTATGGCTTTTTCTGTCCATTGAAGAAAACAGATATCCTCAATCCACTCGTTTCTGTGACAGGTACACGTTCACGGGGATTTATACCTTTGAATCACTTGTGAAAATTATCGCCAGAGGTTTCTGCATAGACGGCTTTACATTTTTACGGGATCCATGGAACTGGTTAGATTTCAGTGTCATTATGATGGCGTAAGTTTCTTGTTTACTTTGTTGTTCTGGGTATGATTGTACCTCTTGTGCATGATTGTGTTGGGGGGGGTGTGTGGTTGTGGATATGCAGTAACTCTGACTGAATGAATGTGGCGTGTGGTCTAGATACTCCCCGAATCCTAAACAGATCAAACAAAGAAGACTCCACTTTGCCTCTCCACTCATTTTCTTTTCCTTCCTGCCTCACCACTAGGGGGCCTTGGTGAGGAGCCAGATGGGATTTGAGGTGGGGGAGGAGAAATCTGGGAAAAGGGGGAGTGGGGGTGAATTTCCTGAGTCTGTTTTGTTATGTCCGTTTCCAGGAAGCCTGGGAGGAGATGCTGGGGGTTTTAAAAGAGGCAAGATCCTAACCCACAAATCTCAAACCAGTCACTTCCTGAAGGAGGAAGAGACTTCTTCTTGTTGTTGTTGCCAACAGAATGAAGGGGACTAATTATTTTAGCCATGTTTTAGGGTCTTAGAAGATTTCTTCCTCAATGATGCTCCTTATTCCTATGTGTCTGGTGCACTTAATGATTGTGTTACTTTATCACTGAAAATGCATTTCCTTTAAAAACTAAACTGAAAGTGGAAAATATTTAATGGATTTTATTTTTTCTTTCCAGCTTTTAATTTTCCTGGGGTGTGTGTTGGGAGGGAGGTGGGGAAGAATGGTGGCATACAAGGGGTGTTGCATCTGTTACTCATGTGGGTAAAGTAGTTATATGCCCCTGCTGTAATGTGAGAAAATGAGTAATGAATGAGACCCATTGCATGGAGAGGCCTGCAAGGCTGAGTTTCTTTTGTATTGAGGTTACTAATGTATTTCCAGTATTGAAAATGTACACTGTCTTGTATTTTTAACTCATGTCCTTGCCCTCATTTTCAGTAATACAAGCCATGCTGTCATTTCTAAACAGATGGCCAATGTGGTGGTCCAGTGGTTAGATCACTGGGTCTGGAGTCAGGAAGACCTGAGTTCAAATCTGGCCTCAGATACTCACTAGCTGTGTGACCGTGGGCAAGTCCTTTAACCACTGTCTGCCTCGATTTCCCCATATGTAAAATGGGGATAATAATCACTCCTGCCTCCCAAGGTTGTTGTGAGGATCAAATGAGATAATAGTGTGAAACACTTTACTAACCTTAAAGTGCTCTACAAATGCTGTCCCTAAAATGAACATTTTTAAATGTAGCACTGCCAGATGATAAAATGAGCATGTATACTTATACCATGATTAGGGTTTTCCTGTGTACTGCTTTCACATGTCATAGATCAGACATGTTTTGGGGCATGTCTCCAATTCTCGGGTAAAGGGTTTGCAAACATGTAGCCACGTTTACTGTTGTCTGCTGCGGAGCTCTTGTATTTTAGGCCTCTTTCGGCAGGCAACCACACAACTTGAATTTTGTCCCTCCTTGGCTATACAGTTGTTTGAAAGAGATCCAGCCACTTCCTTCTGTCTCCTTTTAAATTCATTTTAGAAAGAAAAGAGTAGAAAACAAAATCATTCTGATCCAGACAATCCCAGGAAAAACAATGACAAGACAATGCCAGGAGAAAGCCCCACTCCCCTAGCCACCTCTGTTCCTTCAAAGTTCCAAAGTTCTTTTTGTTTCTGGGCGTTCCTTTCCTGGATGTTTCTTCCCTAATGTGGTTTAACTTGTGTTTACATTTTTAACCTCTTTCCTTTCCAAGAATGCAAAAGATAAAATCCTAGTATCAGTCCCTCCTTCCCCCTGTTCCCAATACCTTGCCCGGTGGTACCATTACAAGTCACCTCTGGTTTGATTCTGCAGGTATATAACAGAGTTTGTAAACCTAGGCAATGTTTCAGCTCTGCGCACTTTCAGGGTACTGAGGGCTTTGAAAACTATTTCAGTAATCCCAGGTAAGGTGGCCTGGGGTTGGTGTTAGGTGTTGGGGTAGGGCCCTGCTGTGACGTACTGTACTTTTTGTTTTGTTGTGCTTGTTGTTTTGGTTTTTATTTTGGTGTGTGTATTTGTCATTTGTTTTTGTGTGTGACCTCCCTTACTGCAGATATGTGACAGAGTTTGTGGACCTGGGCAATGTCTCAGCGCTGAGAACATTCAGGGTTCTCCGAGCTTTGAAAACTATCTCTGTAATTCCAGGTGAGAACACTTAAACCCAACAGCACTTTTTTTTTTGGTCCCATTTCTTCCTTCCCTTACATTTTCCTATCTGCTGAATTCTGAAATGGCACGTGCACATTTGATTGTGTGCTTGGCAATATGCATGACTGCCAGGAGAAGGTCTCTGACGTGGCTGTCTCTGCATATCTTAGGTGTCGGTCTCTCACTTTACTTGCCAGCCGTGCACCCACTGCACCATCCAGGCTGATTGGAGTGGGGGATGGGGGTATTGCCAGGGTGCCCTGGTAGATATTTCCACTGCTGTATGTGATTTTTTTTAAAAGCATGCACTTGAGAAACACTTGGATCTCAGAATATGTGCAAAATTGCCTTAAAACTAACTCTTCTCTGGGAATAAGATATTTGCTTCTCATCCCTGTGGAATTAGAGTATTTTAACATTAACCATTATTCCACTGCTTGCAACTGATAGGCTTCCTATGGCTTTGCTCATTGACTATTGCTTTGACCATTTCCTTTACTCATTGACTATTATTCACATGACCATATGTATTATTATTATATTTATGGAATTGTTGAATCAAAGAGACTAAGGCAGATAATCTAGTCCAATCTTGTTGACAAATTTAAGAACCTTGGAGCTGGTGAAAATGTTTATCCATTCTACCTTAATTTTAATAAGCCCAACCCTCTTCATTCATTCTGTTGTTTCTCATTTCACTGAAATACGGGAACGTAGTCACAACCATACTTGTTTAGAGTTTACTTACAAACAAAAAATCCTATGACAATAGGAGCTATAAAAACCCAAGGTAAGTTTTGGGAGATGCACTTCAGTGTGAATGGAAAGAGAGATAGGGTGGGCCTGAGGGATAGTACAAAGAGAGAATGAGCAAAGACTGGTGAGGAAAAGATGGAATCCTCTGGTGGGGGGAAGGAAGAGAGCTGATTGAAAATCCCATCAGCGATTTTACTGATTTCTTTTATATTTACTGCCTCAAGACAGTGCTGTACCTTAAAGATTGGGGGATGAGGTGGGAGGACTTATCTTCTTTTCTGTTCTTTTGATTCAGTGAATGAGATTTTATAATTTGAGGAGAGGAGGGGCAAGGGAGGAAGTGTCTAAACTACTAATGTAAAATGTATTCTGGTTATATCAAGTTGGATCAGTTCCAGTTATATTCAGCAATTATTTAGGAGGTCTTCTATATCAGCTGTGGTGTCTGTAGCTGTTGGAGAAGCAGGTTGGTGAGCATAGAATAATCAGATGCCCTGCTTTACCCTGGCAAAACCCCTACTTGGGAAACCTGCTTATCATTCTCCTCCCAGCATTTTCATAGAAGATTCAACTGCCCTGGAAAGGTGGCTTTAGAGCTGAGATTCTGTGAGAAGAATGGTAGTGGTTGGGCCCTAGGGAAGTCACTCATGCCTTTGGGGACCTGGTTGTTTCTATTTAAAACTGGTGGCATGGAAAGGACCAGCAAGTGAGGGTGATTGGTGGACTCAGAATGAAGCTTTTGACTATCAATGAGGGATCTTTTACTAAATCATTGTAAGTTTGTCTGTTTTGGCAAGAAACATGATCAGTTGATATTTGATCATCACTTTAAATTCATTTCAAATGAATCCTGTGCTCCATTCTAGACCCATATCACTATAGCCAGGTGGTTGCATTTTAACTTTTGAGTTATTCTTTATCTTAATGGCACGGCAGATAGAGCATAGAGCCTGGAGTTAGGAAGACCTGAATTCAAATCCAGCCTTGGACACTTGTCCAGCTGTGTGACCCTGGACAAGTCTCTTAATCTCTGTTTGCCTCAATTTCCTCAAGTGTAATAATTACTGTAAAGCCGTGGTCATGATTTCTGTGTTATTTTCATTTTAACTAGTTGAAATCCAAAATCATTCTCACCTCAGAGATTATTTCAGGTTCAAAAGAAAATGTGTAATGAGTTTTCATGACATTTTCATTGTTTTGGCCCATCATGACAGATATCTAGTCAATGAGAGAGAGGAAATTAAATTAATAGAAACCATTGTCTTATAGGTTCATTCATAGTTGGGCGTGATTCTAAAAATGTGAGTTTTAGAATTTTCTGAAATCCTAAAAAAGGATTCTGCCCAAGCAGTTTCTAATTCCCTTTTTTCTAGCATAGTTTTAGAAAAATAGTAGTGGAGCTAATCAAAGTATTTCCTTTCCCAAAGTAATTGGTATTGATTCAACACATTTTTTTGGCACTATACTGTTTTATTAATACTAATAAATAGCTCGTAGATCACTCATAAGAGTCACAAGATAGAAATGGAAGAGAGATCTCAAAAGATTATCTGGTACCATTATCTTCTGTTATCTTCATAAAAAGCTCTAGGGATGCAGACTTTTCAGTTTCCTTTGGCAACCCATTCCAGTGTCTTTATCATCCTGAAAGTCAAGATGAGTCCTTCCCTTTGGCTTTGTTCACCGGGTAGCCAGATAACTTTAGGAGTCCAGAACTGCCTCAACCCTGCCTACTGGAATGGAGTCTTTCCTGTTCTTCAGGATCGTTTCATAAAGGAGCTTCCCCATTTCAGTGTTCACACTCTTAATAATTGCTACCTCCCCATCTTTACTTGTGGCGAAGACACTATATGTCATGTCTTAGGGCTCAAAGATACCTTTATAGGTCAGCTAGTTTAGCCCCTGCCTTCAAACAGAACCTCCCAAACTAAAGAGAATCTCTCCTGTGTTTAAAGGCCTCCACCCACTATGTCTCACACCTTCCTTTTAACCTTTCTAAATCCCTCATGCTGCGGTTTCATCAAATCCCTGTTCTTTCTTTGGTGAAGATGAAGAAAAGATATCATAGATTCAAATGGTGCCATTAACTAAGCCTCACCTTAGCTTTTTCTTCTTTATATATTTTCTCTTTTAAAATTGTGGGCTCCTTGAAAGCAGGGACTATTTTTGCCTATCCTTAGCACTTAGCATTGTGCCTGGCACATAGTAACCACTTAATAAATGGTTATTGACTGGTTGACTTATTTTGAATAATTCCAATGACCTTTGACCAGGGCTTAGTGAGCTCTTATGTGACTTTTTAATTGAACTCCTGTATTTTCAGTTTCCCGTACATCTTTCTTAAATGTGCCTCTCTAATCTGCACCCATGAATCTGAAAGGGATTCTGTGTTTTCTAAATCAAGTTTAACAGCTTTTTTCTCTTGGGGAGTGATTTTTATTTTATTTTGGTTTTGCCATGAGAGGTTCAGCAGGAGAGGGGCCAACTGCTGGAGATTCAGTAGCTCCTGTGAGGATGGGGAAGTGTGTGGTAGACTTCTCTAGTTGCTGCCAAGAGTGATTCTAGATGTCATTTACATGACCTTGGAGGCTATCATACTCCTTTTACCCTCATAGGACTGGGTTGTTAGAACACATTTAGTCATATGATTGAGGGATTCCAAGATTCCCTCAGGGAATAAACCTTTGTCAAATGCCTCTTATGTACAATACAGTGTGATAAACACTGAGGGAGAAGAGGGAGATACAAGTATAACTGAGATACAGTCTACCTCCTGAAGCTTTCATGGGATGAGTAGGGTTAGGGGTAAGATTACATAGCTTAAATGGGGTTTTCAAACTTTTCTCACCACGACAATCCTGATGCCAGGATTTGGAACCAGTCAGAATAGTTAGAAACAATTCCTTATAGTTGTATAGTGCATAAAACTGTTTTAATGCATTTTTGCATCTGTTATCTCATTTCATCCCAAAAATCACCCTCTAAAGCGTCTATTTTCTGTCTCCATTTTGCAGTTGAAGTAACTAAGTCTGAACCAGGTTAAGTAAATTGCCCAAAGTCACATAGCTAATTAGGGACAGAACTGGGATTAGACTCTGCTGTTATTTGTCCAATACTGACCAGCCCATAGGAAAGAAGTCAGACTGTAGGAGTCGTGATGAAATGGTTTGTTTCTTAGATCTTTAGGCAAGCCCTCTCTTTTTGTTTTCCTCACTCCTAGGATGGTGGGACAACTTTTTAGTGTACCAACCAGTGCTCTAGAGGAAAGAATTTGGGATTGGATTTTTCTAGGGAGCCATTTGCCAGTTTATAGGTTATTTATGGGAGCCCTCCATAAATAACAAAATGTTCTTTGTGTCCCTACAATTCTACAGTACTAGAATATAGGGCTAATCTGCCCTTCAAAATCATGTCTGTGTGCAACAGTGCCCTTTAGGGCATCCTGTCATTTGAGTTCTTTCTTCTCTCAAATCTATCAATGGGCCTGAATATAAGGAAGTTGAAAATCTGTATTTTTCAGTCAGTCCACAAGCATCTATTAGATTTATTAGGTTCAAAGTACTGGGGATGCAAAGAAAGACAGAAACACATTTCCTGCCCCACAAGGAGCTCACGTTCTAATAAGGGAGACAACTTGCAGACAGCTACATAACATATAAGTTTATACAGTGTAAATGGTAGCTCTATCAGAGGGGAGATACTAGGGGTGGGGGTAGGGATGAAGAGGGAGACTAGGAAAGGCCTCTTGTACAAGGTACGATTTAAGCTGAGTTTTAAAGGAAGCCAGAGGAGCAAAGAAGCAGATGAAGAGGGGAAGCATTTCCAGCAGGGAGGACAGCCAGTGCAAAGACGTGGAGACAGGAACAAGAAGAAGGCCAGTGTTATGGAATCACATTGTATGTGAAGGGAAGTAATAGAAGACTGGAAAGTTAGGAAGGGCTCAAGTTGTGAAGGACTTAATTTATAAGCCAAATGGAGGCCTTAATCTTTTATCCAGGAGGTACTAGGGAGCCACTGGAATTTACTGGGGGGATGGGCAGCTGAGATAGCAGACCTGTGCTTTAGGAAGATTACTTTGGTAGCTGAGTACGTGATGAGGTAGAGTCTGGAGAGACTTTAATCAGGAACATCAATCAGAAAGCTGTTGAAATATTACAGAAGAGCTGGCACGAGTGGAGAGAGGGAGGGGATATATGCCAAGCATGGTGTGAACGCTGAATTGACAAGACTGGCAACAGATTGGTTGTGTGAGGTGAATGCAAATGAGGAATGAAAGGTGACAGTGGGCTTGTAAGCCTGGAAGGATGGTGGTACCCTTGACCATAATCATTTGGGACAAGGGAGGATTGGGGTGAAATATAGTAAGTTCAGTTTTGGTCTGAACAGTGCAGACTCCCATGCTTAGTCTGCATATCCAGTTCTAGATATCGTAGAGGCAGTTGATAATGCAACACTGCAGTCTAGGAGAGAGGTTAGGGCCAGATAAGCAGGTAGAATCATTCAGAGAGATGATCATTGAACCCATAAGAGGGAGAATAGGAAAGGGCCTACCTCGTCTTATAAGACCAAAGCTCTATAGCCGGAAGGACCACAGAGGCCATCTAATACAACCCCATCATTTTATAGATGAGGAAACTAAAGACCAGGGAAATTAAAATGAAATGCCTAACATCCCACAAGTAGTAAATGTCAGGGGTGAGATTGGAACACAGGGTCTTCTGACTCAGGAGCAAGTATTCTTTACTAGAAGGATTAAGAGAAGCCGTGGCCATGATATTTCTCATATTTGACCCCTACTGGGTTTGTAGGGCATGTTTTTGGAGGAGAGGCATTTCATTTGTGCCTCCTTCTTTATCTTTGGATTTTCCATGACAAGCATTGAGCATAGAGGAGAGATGAAGAAGGAAATGGCAAACCATTCCAGTATCTTTGGCAAGAGAGCCCCAAAATGAGGTTACAAAGAATTGAACACGAATAACAACAACAACAACATAGAGGAGAGAATGTTGTTCATGATTGCCATTGTACTAAAATTTTCAGTGACCAGATACCTACCCATTAGTCTCTCTTAAACTTCAGCTAGCCAAGTGCAGAGAAAGACATAGGAAGAGTCAATCAGCCTACCAAAAAGCATTTATTAAGTGCTTACAATGTGCCAGTTACCATGCTAAGCACTGAGGATGAAAAGAAAGGCAAAATGCACAGATGTTGTCCCTCCCCTCAAGGAGGTGGGGGGGGGAGGGGGCACAGAGAGAAGAACTGCATACAGTAAATTGACATTCAAAATAGATACAGTAGAAAGAAGGTAACCTTAGAGAGGAAAACTCAAAGACTTGGGGAGAAGAGGACGTCCTCCTGTGGAAGGTAGCTTTTAAGCTGAGTCTTAAAAGAAAGCAAAGAAGTGAAGAAGGACAATATTCCAGGTATAGGGGATAGCCAGTACAGAGGCAGGAGGTGGGCATGTCCTGTGCCCGGAACAGCTAGCAGGCTAGTACTGGTGAGCCATAGAGGTTATAGAGGGGGTAATGTATTACTCTATTCCATGCATAATAGCAGCAGTATCTTTTTTTGGGGGGGGGAGGGGTTAGGCAATTGGGGTTAAGTGACTTGCCCAGAGTCACACAGATAGTAAGTGTCAAGTGTTTGGTCTGAGGCCGGATTTGAACTCAGGTCCTCCTGACTTCAGGGCCGCACTCTATCCACTGCACCACCTAGCTGCCCTATAGCAGCAGTATCTTGAACCTAAAACTTTTAATTAAAACAGCTTATATTGCTTTATATGTATCATCTTTATTTCCACTATATTCTTATAAACAGAGAAGCTCTTACATACCGTACCAAGAAGTTATGTGACTTAATTAACATCATACTGGCCAAGCAGAGATTGGGGCCTGGGGTCTCTTAACTCTCTGTCTAATCATCTTACTTACTGGTAGATGTGGAGTAGGGGCGGTGTATCTAGACTCATTTCCCCCCCCCACCACCACCTTTCAGCCCGCCTAGTATTTTAATGCTAGAATTTAGTCCATGTTGCCTTTAAAAAGCCCCAAAGATTAAGATGTGGCTGCAGACCTGTTCTCCTTATACCCTATTTGGGCAGTTCAGCTGTGGTTTCAAATTCAAACCGTGGTTTGATCCTAAATCTGCAATTTAAATGATTATTGGCATTATTTTTTTAATTTTAGATGTGACAGAAAAGGTTAGCTGGGGAAGTCAGGGCATGCTTTCAAAAAAGACAGGGAATGGCAGAAAGAGGAGTTACCTTTAAGAGTAGGTGTAACACAAGGATGGGATCATTATTGGAGTCCAATAGGTGGGGTAGTGGATAGGGTGCCTTGGGGCTTGGAATCAGGAAGACCTAAGTTCAAATCTGGCCTTGATTTCCTCAACTGTAAGATGGAGATTATAAAAGTACTGATTTCTCAGCATTATTGTGAGGACAAAATGAGGTAGTAGTAGTGAAGTACTTTGAAGACTTCCAAGGACTACATTATTCCAAGTACTAATTATTATTATTGTTGTTATCATTATCATTGTTATTATTGAACCAATCCTGCAGCTATCTTGGTAGTTTGGGAACTTTTGGGAAAACCTGTCCAGCGTGGAAACTCTTGAAAAGTTGTCATTTATTATTAGCTCCTTATCTGCCCTCTAGCTGCTATTCTCTCTTGGGTTTACCTATAATATGAAGAGAAAAGAATATTTCTAATTTAAAAGGAGCCCTGGGTTAGAAATGGTGACAGTTTTTTTTCTCTAAATATTGTTGAGCTTAGAATAAAACATCCTTTCTTACTTATGTTCTCGGGGTTGAGAGTGATGCCATATTTTAAAGCATGAAGACTCTTGTCTCTCCATTGCTGCTATACAGAATGAGTTCCTCTTGGGTAAAGAGTAGGCATGGACCTGTTTCTGGAAAAGACGAAAAGGGAGGCTGGGAGGTTGGGAGGGCCAGAGAGTTAGTCTAATTTTGATGTTTCTCTCTTCTCAGGTCTGAAGACCATCGTAGGAGCCCTTATTCAGTCAGTCAAGAAGCTGTCTGATGTGATGATCTTAACTGTATTCTGCCTGAGTGTCTTTGCCTTGATTGGACTACAGTTGTTCATGGGCAACTTGCGGAACAAGTGTGTTGTGTGGCCCATCAATTTCAATGAGAGTTTCCTTGAAAATGGCACCAAAGGCTTTGACTGGGAAGAGTATATCAACAATAAGAGTAGGTATTCCCCTCTTTGTAGGAAGGAGACAGTCTTTTCCTGGCTTACATGGTCAGAAAATCTGTGCTGGGCTTAGAACATGAATGTTCCAAGAAGGAAGCACCAGACTACAACAATGTAAATTATTAAAAAAAAAAACTAGGAGAAAGTCAAATGCTAAATAATTAATTTTTAAACCAATAAAGAACAGTTATGAAACATATGTGATTCCTCACAGCAAAGAAGCAGGAGACGACTGAGATGGAATCATGCGTGTGCATGTGCGTGTGTGTGTGTGTGTGTGTGTGTGTGTGTGTGTGTGTGTGTATTCAGATGTCTTTGCTATCAGGTGTTTTTACTTAATTGTTGTCTTTGTGAAAAGGGAGGATTCAATCTGAAGTGGCTGCATTTTTGTATAAAGACCAAAGGCACCCGTAAAATATTTTATTTGTTTTTTGTTTTGTTCTTAAAAAGGGAGCCCCAGAGGATAGGCTTGATAAGTTATAGAATGTCTGTTCAGTAGTCTATTCACAACTATCAGAGATGACCTGGAAAGGTCATCCAGGTCATCTCCTTGAGAGCCAAACAGCACTCAAACTTTACCAGAATAGTCATTCTCTTGGTTTTTTCCCCCCTTTCAAATATTCAAAAAGAGAGGCCTTACATTTTCACTTGAAGAATAAGAGTTGCCCTGAGACTTTTTTTCTTTAAGCTCTAAATTTGATTAATGCCACCCTCTCTCATCTGTCCCCCTCCACTGCCATCTATTGCCTATGATAAGTTTGTCTCTTTTCTACTACCTCACTAAAGTGCTGTGAAGGTTTTTTATAAAGTGTTTTTAGGAATTTTAAAGCACTATTTAAATGTAAGCTACTATTTTTAGGATCACAGGATCATGTTAGAGGTGTTGCAGATTTTATTAGTGAGGGGTCTTCAATGGCCAGAGAGCAAGGAAGCTACTCTACTATGCGACAGCTGAGGCAGGAATGTGCCTAAGGAACAATCAGGCTTTGAGAGTATTTTCCCAGAGAGGGGAGCTTCATGGCCCCTGAATTCAAGGGTGGTCACTTAAGACAGACTCATTAGGAAAGAACCCATGTATAGAACCATGTTGAGTTAAGAAAATTAATTAATCTCACTTCCAGCTAGACTTTAGACTGAAAGTATTATTTGATCATGTTAATAGTAGGGCAGTGCTTTTGACTATTGTATTCAAGATAACTGGGAAAGCAGATTTATAAATAAAGGAAAAAGTTAGTGGTAGAGGCAGTTGGGTAGAACAGGGAATAGAGTAATAGGCCTGGAGTCAGGAAGACCTGAGTTCAAATCCAAATCCATCCTTGCTCTCTTGCTGTTGTGACCTTGAGCAAGTCACTTAACCTCTGTTTGTGTCAGTTTCTTCATCTGTAAAATGGAGATAATAGCATCTACCTCTCAGTGTTACTGTAGATCAAATGAGATAATAATTGTAATTCATTTAGCACAATGATCAGCACATAGTAGGTGCTTAATAAATGCTTGTTTCCTTCCTTCCTTGTCCCTATCTTAGCCTCTCCTTTGGAAGTCTAGTTAAAGTGACATATCCATAAGAAAGTGATGGGAAGGATACTTGAAGGGAACATTAGGGAAGGAGTGACTTCTCTTCCAGAACAAGATGCTTCTATGGTTAGTAGTCTTAGGAGATGCCTGGTACTAAAACAATGAAGAGGAAGGGATGGAAGAACAGAAAACAGTTGGATTCAGAAAATGTATTTGTGGTCCGTCGTGACTATGGCCTAGATTTGGGATGTTGAGGGGAGTAGGGTGGTAAGGATAAGGATACACACATATGTTTGTGTGTACGCATACATATGTGCATATATACGTGTGTATTTCCACATTCCCAAACTAGGTTCTATAAAACCCTATTATATTGCATAATATGAAGAAGGGTTTCATGAGAAAATTTCAATCCTAGTGATATTCCTCATTCTAAAAGGATATTGTATTAAATTATAGATCAAGATATATTTACAGTCAGTTTTTCCTATTATGAAAGTAGGCTTAAGTTCTATATTGTTAAAAAAAAAAAGTGTTTCCCTTAGCCTGTCTTTATCCTGAGGATAGTACGCATATTTCTAAGTACCGTGGACTGTCGTTTATGTAGTATGTCAGTGTATTTCAGAATCAGTTGTTTGTTGTGCCAGATTAATTTGAGAAGTGCTTCATGATGTCAAGAATCTCCAAAGACTGATCAGTGTATGTCATATGCAGGAAAATCCATAATGGAAGGAAATTATTATTTCATTGTTTTCAGGAAAGAGTTAAACTTACATGTACTGAAAATGTTTGGGGCAAAAAAATTTTTGCAGAAAGTAAGATGCTTATTTATCTAAATATGTCTAATTCATTCTCTGTCTTTTCAAATTTATTAGCAAATTTTTACACCATACCTGGCATGCTAGATCCTTTACTTTGTGGGAACAGTTCTGATGCAGGGTAAGTAATCCATTTTGTTGTTTTCTCCTCCCTTAAAATAATGTTTCAGATTTTGTTGAAGGTAGACAATATTTCCACATGCCCTTTTCTTTGTGTGGCATAAGGGGAAAAAAAAAAGAACAAATTATTAGACCTGACTGGATTTTGGTTTTTATGTTCTACATTTACTTACTCCAATGACTTCATTTCCTCATTTGTAAGATTCTTGCCCTGCCTAAATCAACTGAAGTGAGGAATCAGATGACTTGTGAAAGTGCTTTGTAAATTGTAAAGAATTAAACAAATATAACTATTTAGGATTTGTCCTTATATAGTAAATTATAGTCCTACTGTGAAGCATAATCCTTGTTTGTAGGCAGCTCTCTTCTTGAAGGCTATGCTAGTGGAGTGTTGTAAACACTGTTGGACTCTACCATGCCGAAATGAGGATGGTCCCAGCAACAGGCCACCTCTACATTTGGAGCTAGTACTGTATGTATAGGTTAGCCATTTTGTGATGAACCCATGAAAGGAACAGCTAGGTGGCTCAATAGGTAGAGTGCTGGGTGTGGAGTCAGGAAGACCTGAATTCAAATCTGGCCTCAGATACTTATTGTGTGATTCTGGGTGAATTAGTTAACCACTTTTTGCCACAGTTTCATCAGATGATGTAAAATGAGCTGGAGAAAGAAATGGCAAACCACTCTAGTATCTTTGCCAAGAATACCCCAAATGGGGTCACAAAGAGTAAGACATGACTGAAATGACTGAACAACAACAACAAAACCCATGAAACAGAGAAAAATATAAGATGTCCTGGTTTTCCTAGCGGGGCCAATAGGACAGTCGACAGAATTGGTTTTACTGTGTGTGTTCAAAAAGAAACCCCATTATTTCATGCAATATTTTCAGTTTTTATGGTATTTGTCAATAGATTACCATGGAAATAATCACAACTTATGTAGTAATATCAATTGCAAAGGATAAGAAAATATAGAAATTCAATAAAGAATGTGATAAGACCCTCCAAAATAAATCCACATATAGTTTGATGATCTGTGAGTTCACTGTAAAGGAAGAGGTAGGGAAAGATGGTGAAAAAATATATTTCAAGAGTAAGAAATGAGAGATTTAACAAGAGCAATAACTTCGTTCAGCGACCCCCTACTTATTAAAATCTAGCAAGGCATAAAATGAAGACATGTAGGCTCGTCTAAGGCATTCTCCCTGGTGATAGAGGAGGTCCAGCACTGAGACCACATCTAAGAGGGATTCTGTATGACTGGTGAACTCCTCGGGATGCTCCCCGGGACTTAGCATAGTGCCTGGCACATTGTAAGCATTTAACAAATGTTTGTTGTCTGACTGACTGATTGTGAACATTGTGGTAATTGTATCAGGCCTCAGAGCCTTCTGAATTAGATTCATATTTTGGCACAATTCATCAAGCATTTAAGTGCCTCCTATGGGCAAGGTCCTTGGGCTAGGCCCTGGGAGTTCAAGGAGGAAGGGGAAAGAGAATACATTCTCGGAAGTATGGAAGCAACATCTGTACAGGTAAATTAATATAGATACATACAAAATAATCTGGGCCAATGGAGGACAGCACTAACAACTGGATATCATTCAGTTGGTGAGCGTTTGTTATTTGCTTCCTATGTACCTGGCACTGGGTGAGGTACTAGGGATACAGAGACAGAAGTGAACCAACTCCTGCTCTCAAGGAGCAGCATACATTTGATCAGGAGAGACTGTATGTGCAAAAGTAAATGAGTGCATTCAGGTGTATACATAAGGCAAAATAATTTCAAGGGGCTAGGCACTTGGAGATCAGTTAAGATCACATATTGGACATGATGCTTGAGCTGAGCTTTGAAGGAAACTAGGACTCCTAAGAGGCCAAAGTGAGGAGGGGGTGCATTCCAGACAGGTGTAGCCTGTGCAGAGGCATGGGGACTGGACAGGGAAGGTCATTCTGTGTGTGACAAATGGGAAACAGGCTAGTTTGATGAACCATAGAGCACAAGCAGGGAGATAATGTGATGTAATAGTTCTGGAAGGATAAGTTGGAGCCATGTTGTGAAGTACTTTAAATGCTAAGCAGGGGAGTTAGTGCTTGACGCTTGAAATGATAGGAAGCCCTTGGAGTTTATTGGGAAGGAGAGTGATGTAGTCAGACGTATATTTTAGGAATATTGCTTTGACAGTTGTATGAAGAATGACATAGAGAGGGGAAAGACTAGAGGTGAGGAGATGAATTAGGAGGCTATTGTAATACTTTGGGTAGGAGGTGATGATGGCTTGAAGTAGAGTGGTGGGTGTGTGAATAGAGAGAAGGAGATGGATGAAAGAGAGATGGTGTGAAGGTGAAATAGATAAGACTTGGCAAATGATTGGATGAGTAGGGTGAGGGAGAGGAAGGAGTCGAGGATGACTGTGAGGTTGTGTATGGGTAACCATAAGGATGGTGGTGCCTTCAGCAGAAATAGAGAAGTTGAGAAGGGGAACATTAACCTGATCTGTTTTAGATATGGTGGGTTTGCGATGTCTCCATGATGTCCAGTTAAAAAGCTTGAATAGATAATTGGTAAGGTGGGACTGAAGCTCAGGAGATAGACCACGCCAGGATATATAGATCTGGGAGTCATCTGCATAGAGATGATAAGTAAACCCATGGGACCTGATGGGGGAGGAGGAGGAAGAGAGAGAGAGAGAGAGAGAGAGAGAGAGAGAGAGAGAGAGAGAAAGAAAGAGAGAGAGAGAGAGAGAGAGAGAGAGAGAGAAGAGAGAGAGAGAAAAAGAGAGAGAGAGAGAGAGAGAGAGAGAGAGAGAGAGAGAGAGAGAGAGAGAGAGAGAGATTGTGCTAGGAATTCCAAGAGATGAGGAGAGAGTTCATCTCATTTCAGACATGAAGGGGACATAGGATTGGGAGAACAGAATGCTATATATAGGGAAGTTTTGGGTGAAATATAGAGTTTGTATTGGGGAATAATGTGACAGCAATTTAGAAAGGTAGGTTGGAGCCAGATTGGGAAGGTCTTTAAATGCCAAAGAAGTGAGTATGTATCTTGTCCTAGAAATAATAAGGAATACTTTGAGTTTTGTGAACAGGAAAATAACATGGTCAGACCTGTGTAAGAAAAAAAAGATGGCGGGTATCCCCTTCTCCTCAACCTTGCCCCAGCCTTTCAATCCAGAATCGCAAAGATGAAGACCAATTCATTTGTTTGCTATAGTTTACAGAATATAATTCCTGTCCCCCATAACCTAACAGAGAACCCCTTTAGAAGATTACAAATTTCCCCAAATCTACCAAATGGAAAAACCAATGGATACCACTTGAAACAGGTCTTTTCCCTCAAAGAAAAAAATCTTCTCAACTGAAAAATGGTGGTCCCTCCCTCCTCTTTCAGCAGTAGGGTCAGCTGAGTAGATTTTTGAGGGACATCTTCTAGGATTCAGGGGTTGGGGAAGAGAACGGTTAAATTGGTTAAGTCACTCAGTAGCAGTTAGAGAGTAAGGTAGAAGATATGAGTAGTCAGGTCAAAGGTCTCTTGCTCCAGGTGTAGCAGTGTTGGCCTAAATAACAATATATAAATTGTGTGTTGGGGGGGGTGTTTTACAAGGAGTAGAAAGAGATGCATGTCTGCATGTGCTGCCACCCTGCACCCTGGTCCAGGAGCTACCAAAATGTGTCCTGACTGGACTTTAGCATCGAGCCTATGAGTTCCTAAACCTAGAATAGCTTTGGTTTAAGAAGTGGAAGGGCTTTTGAAGAGGAGGGGAAGCCACGTTTATGGGGGCATCAGGTGTTAGGGAAGCTTCTGAGGAAAAAGCTTCTGCACTATCCAGGTCCAGCTGGCTCACTTATCCTGATGATTCAGGAATGAATAGGTGCATCCACAATCATTGAAAAGCAGAATACTTAACTCTCTGTATAGGAAAAACCAAGTGGGTAAAGAATGCCTATTATGCAGATAATGATATACACCCCAGAGAGCTAATCCTTTGGTAAACTTTAAATGGACAATGAGCTAGGCTCAGAATTGAAGAGGAAGAAGAGAGTAGACTAGATTCCCCTTGGGAAATTGCACAGATGACCTCAGGCTTCTTCCTGAAACAAAGGCCCATCTTTTTTAGCACGATAGAATTCCCCTGATGTTATATCACTGTAGGTCATGGAATGCTGCAGTCTCTGAAGAATTAAAGTTGAAGGTCCCCCATAAGATGGTGGAGAAGCACATGATGGCTATGTGTAGGCTACAGAATATGAACAACAAGGAATTATGTAAGAAAAGGGTCAAGAAGGAAGAGAAATGTAAGACCAGAAAAAATGATGAACCAATCACATACTGAGAGAGAGATAACTAATGACTTGAAAGACAGTATATATGATGGATGATCCACTGGAATATATCCAGTCTTGAAAGAGTTTGGGGAAAGCCCCCAGCACGTTGGTTGACCTTCTGTGGTTGATTTAAGGGAAAATAAGGACAAGAGTTCCAAATGATGGCCCTGTATGGATGAGCTATAATATGCAGCTTTGGAAGGGTCCCCAGACATCGGTAATAGAAACATAATTTTATTGGTTACCTATTCTCTACCTTCCTGGCCTTTCTCCATTTTAAGCTCATATTCACAGACTTCAGTTATAGAATAACGTATGGGTCCAGAACATTAGATTCCTGCCCTTCTTTTGTACTCGCTAGATTCTCAGTCTTCCTTAATGTAGTTGACAGCATAAAGATGGAATAAAAATCTGATTTTGTTGGTGGGTTTAAAACTGAGGGAGGAGCCAATATTTGTAGATGTTATTCAGAATTTACCTAAGATGTATTCCTCTGGAAATCAACAGTGTAAGGTGACCAATGACAAAAGAGGCTCCCTCTTACTACCTGCATTGCAGCAGGCATTAGGGGATCTGTCAGCAATTCCAGGAGCAATGTCAGTGACTGATCTGAGGCTATTAACATCCCACTGCTGCAGCAAATGTTAAAGGGATAAAAGGTTGCTAAGAATCTCTGTTCGTATTTCCTTGGTTTTGACTCTAAGCTTGGCTTAATAAACAAGCACTGAATTTGGTCAAATTTCCCACTGATCTGAGGTATGGAGAACTGAACTAGTGAATAACTGCTGCTATGTTTTTTGCTCTTCTGAGGTTTTATGCTTTCAGCTTCTTAGCCCAGCTTTATGCAAAGTTCGTGAGAGTATCCCCTGCACTTTCAGAATACCTAACAAGTAGTCATCCAGCCTTTGCTTGAAGACCTCTGAAAAAGAGGAAGCCTGTACCTGTATTTGTAATTTCCAACCATTGTTCCTACATCTGTCTTTTGGAGTTAACAGAAAGCCTTCTTCAGGACAGCCCTTCAGATACTTGAAGCAAGCTACCATTTCCCACCACACCCCCAGTTCCTTCAGTTTTCCCCCCCTGCAACATGAGGTCAAGGTTCCTCACCATTCTGGTTGCCCTCTTCTAGGCATTCTCCAGCTTACTGATGCCCTTCCTAACCTGGTGCCCAGAACTGAGCACAATACTCCATGGTCTGGTAGTGACTTGTTGCTGGTTTTTGAGTGGTCTTTAATTGAATGCATTGCAAATGGTGCATGATAACTTGTTTTAAACTGAATTGAATTGACCAAGTTGAAAAGTTCTTTCCTTTCCTGTTCTCTTCTCAGGCAATGTCCTGAAGGATACCTATGTATGAAAGCAGGAAGGAATCCAAATTATGGCTATACAAGCTTTGATACCTTCAGCTGGGCCTTTTTGGCATTGTTTCGCCTTATGACCCAAGACTATTGGGAAAACTTGTATCAGTTGGTGAGTAATATCAGTTTCTTTGATGAGAGGATCTACATGGCAGCGTGCTGGGTAGAGACATGGCAGCATTCTCCGTGAGAGTGTGGTGAGAAATTCCAGTCAGGGTTGTAGGATTACATTTCCTAGCCAGTAATGGTTTATCAGTTTAGATCTGGGCTCTCTAGTTGTCACCTATTTCTTTGCCAAACAAGCAGCGAACATTTATTAAGTACTTATGTGTCAGGCACTGTGCCAACCTCTGGGGATACCATACAAGCAAAACAATAGTCTCTGCCCTCAAGGAGCTTCTGTTCTAATAAGAGATGACAACACGTAAAGGGAGCTGAGGAGGGAGGTGTGAAGCTGCCTACCCAGTGCCACGGTGGGAAAGTCCACAGAGTCAGAAGCACTCCTGGGGAGGGGAATGGTCAAGCATGGCCAGCCAGGGCTCAGATGGGAGCCCTGAAAGGGAATTCACCAAGGGGAGAAGGTATGACAGAGGGATGTTTCAGGCTGAGGGTAATCCCAGAATGAGAAGACAGCTGAATCATGGTGGGAAAGTCGGTAGAGTCAGAAGCTGGGCAGGGAATGAAGCATGGTCAGCCTGGTCTGTCCCTAAAATGGTGGCTAGAGAAGAAAGTGCTTCACTGTATATGGAAGTACTCACAATTTCAACTGTTTTCCCCTATGTCCCAGGAGTCAGTTATGCCTCTCCTCAGGCTTTTGTGCTTGGGACTTTTAATTAATCAAAAAATGTATTGAGATCTCCTGTGTATTGGAAGGCACCATGCTAGGCGCTGAAGAGATTTTTTAAAAGTATAATAAATATAGTATAACAAAGTATAATATATAGTTCATGCTCTAAAGGGGCTTCATTTTGTTTACATTCAGCACTTGGGTATCTATTTGGAAACATTCAGTTTGTTGCTAGAAGAAAGATAAATTTGTGTTCCACGGGGCCATAGAACCTTATCACTTAGATGATCTCTCTGAAAACTGAGAAGGCTGGAGTCATATGATCCAGAGCCAAAATGCTATGATTCTGTGTGGCTTTGAGCTGTCCAGCTGCTGCTGGAGGAGAAAGAGAAGCACCCCCCTCAGGAAGAGAGGGGGTGGCTTCTGCAACTGAAGACTCCAGGTCAAATCTTCAGTGCATTTCTAACGTGTACCCAGGCAACCCAAGTTAGACTTCCTGAGTGGGAACAACTAAAGTGATTCCCTGGGATTTGGCAGAGTGCCCTGCATACGTGGGAAGGCACTTAATATTTGTTGGTGATAAAATGAGAGCACCATAAGTAGTCATATAGATAAGAAAGAACACAACACCAGGGTGTGGTCTAATCATTCCCTGTCAAGGAAAGGGGAAGAAGGCCTGAGCCCCATTCTACTCCCCGTGTTATTCTGTGTGCCCCTCTTTCATGACCTGCATTTCAGTTAATTAAATTAGAGCCTTTTAATTCCTAACTTGAGTATTAGAGCCTTTTAATTAGCCACTACCCAAAATTTTGACATGGCCACAGAAAAGAATCACTAAGCAAGCAGGCATTTATTAAGCACTTATTATGTTCCAGGCTCATAGTGCTGGGTATACAAAGACAAAAGCATAACAGCTCCTTGCCTTAAAGGAGCTTACTTTCCAACAGGAGAGACAGGATGTACATGCATAGGTATAGCCAAGACATACAAAGCAGATCCATTGTTTGGTGAGAAGGCAGTAGATCATAGAAGCACAGTTGAGGGTTACAAGGGGCTTTTAAGGCTTTAAGTCCAACTCTCTCATTTTATAGATGTGGAATCTGAGACTAAAAAATGTTTAATGACTTCCCTAATGTCACAGAGATAGTAAATAGCAGTGCCAAAATTTGAACCCATGCCTTCTGCTTTCAAATCCAGCACTCCTTTTCTTGTACCAGTCTAGGAAAGTAAAATCAATTTCTGAGCAGCTTTGTTTTATTTTGCTTTTAAGTTAAGAATTTCCCCAGGAATAGCTTGGTTCTGATGGTTTCATAGCATTTGAATTGACGAAATGTTTACTTTTAGGTAATGACCAGTGAACAAGTGAGCTAATGTCTTAAATTTTGCGTGTTACACTTGATTAGGAGCCATTTGGGGAAGTAAAATCTATTTCTGAGCTTTCAAAAAAATTTAAAAATTTCCCCAGGAATTGTTTGGTTCTGGGAATGTTTTTCTAGTGCCTTCATTCGACACCACTCAGAAAATGGCATTTGTCTTTGCAGACCTTACGAGCAGCAGGAAAAACATACATGATCTTCTTTGTCCTGGTTATCTTTGTGGGTTCCTTTTATTTGGTCAATCTTATCTTGGCTGTTGTGGCCATGGCCTATGAAGAGCAGAACCAAGCGACTTTGGAGGAGGCAGAGCAAAAGGAGGCAGAGTTCAAGGCGATGCTGGAACAATTGAAAAAGCAACAGGAGGAAGCCCAGGTTGGTAAAGAGCTTCATGGCAGCAGTGCATCATTGAAGCTGGAGCTCTGTCTCCCCAGTGTAGTGCATTTGGATGCAAATCTAATATTTGCAGATGTCAGCAGAGCAATGGAAATAACTGAACCACAAATGGCTGGTCCACTTACTTCACTTTTATTAATAACCAGATTGCTTCTTATTAGGATCTATTAATGGCTGGAGATAAAAACAAACAAACAAATATCCAAAGGGATTGATTTAGTGTCTCCACAGCCCCACCTCTGTTTGGATGGGCATTTGTTCTCTGTCTTCCCTCTGGAGATCATAAAGGAATTTCTTAACACTCATTTTCAGAACTTCTCTGGTGGTTCCTTGTTGTGCTGAGAAGGCAATTGATCTATTTACTGAGGATGCATATATGGGAATACGACCTAGAATTGTTATTTTTTAAGATCCTGTTCAAATGCCCTTAGAAATACTTGCTCAAGATGCAATGTAAACTAAAGAATTTTAACTGTGAGGCCCTAACTTCAGTCCCCCTGTTAAAGAGGCTTGTTTCCTCTCCTTTTCCATCCCTTCATCTTTTGCTTAAAATCTCTGGTAGAGCAGTTTGTCTGCAGTTGTAGGTTTTTCTCTTCAATTGCCACTATTTGCTTCCTCCTGATTTGATTTGGTTCCTGTGATTACTCCCACAGGCTGCTGCAATGGCCACTTCCGCTGGAACTGTCTCCGAAGATGCTATAGAAGAAGAAGGTGGAGGGAGGGGGTCTCGGAGCTCATCAGAAGTTTCCAAACTCAGTTCAAAGAGTGCCAAAGAGAGACGTAACAGGAGGAAGAAGAGGAAGCAGAAGGAGCTCTCCGAGGGAGAAGAGAAAGGGGACAGTGAGAAGGTGTTTAAATCAGAGTCAGAAGATGGCATGAGGAGGAAGGCCTTTCGCCTACCGGACAACAGGATAGGGAGGAAATTTTCGATCATGAACCAGGTAGAGTACTTCTTTGCATGGGCCAAGAATGACTTTTAATGATTTACAGGTTCCTCGTCAGTCCTCCAGCTGCTAAGTCCTACTATTCTTTCCCTACGTGTCCTCTAGCCTCATCCCTGAATCCTTAGTGCTGCCTTCCTAAACTTCACTCTGCTCCAAACAGCCCCCTTAACTGTAGTTTGTAGCAGGAAGCTGAAATACCCTGAAATTAGAGATAAATTCAAATGGAACCAGCTTAAAAGGGAATTGACATAGAAGGCCGTATGTTAAATGTTTGTTCATGTTAAGGATTGCCACAGCAGTTTAGTATAGGCCAGATGATCTAGACCTTGGCTTTTGGGGGCCAGAATCCTTTGTGTTGGGCTGAAGGGTAGCGGCAATGGCTGGGTCCTGTTATTTAAAGTAAGGGCAATATCCATAGAGGCAGATGTACCAGGTACAATTACAGCAAGTCTTTGCAGACTGAACTCAGGCTCCACACTGGGTAACAGGGAGTACAACATCAATACCAAGAAAGCATTTAATGTAGTAACTAACCAGGAAACTAGAGTTGGCCTCTTGCTTTTTAGATTTGTCAGTCACTCTTGTTAATTCGTATTAGCTAAGGAGCTAGCCCCAGGGAAGGGGCAAATATTACAAACTGGCTTTTAGAAACACTCTCAGCCCACAGAGGCTCTAAGTTTTGCGTGCCTCCTCTTTATTTCCTCTTTCCTTTTGTAGCTAGAACCAATTTGGAGACTACATTCTAGGAAAAAGAGAAAGGAAAAGAAGCATTTCTGCTTTTTTTCCCCCTTGCTCAAACTATTTGTGTGCTTGGGAAATAATTCTATGATTTCATGTTTTCATCATTGATAGGTATACTCCAGTGGCAGTCAGATGATACTCTCAAGCTGCAGGTTCTAAAGGTTTAGATTTGCCCCAAATTTCCTAGGAGAGAATTTCTCTTCCTGTCTGATATAGGTCAGAATTAATGCCGGATAATTCTTGTTATGAACTATATATGACCACGTATAGAAAATAGGAGTAACAAATCTTTTAAATCATGAACCAAGTTTAATTAAACATGACATTTTTTGAGTCGCATACATGCACTGTTATCCTAACCACATAAAGTAAGACATGGAAGGGACCTGAGCAGCCGTCTAAGCCAACCCATACATAAAAACAGTCCCTACTATAAACCTAGTCAATAAGTGGTCATCCACCCCCTGCTTGAAGACCTCTCAGGAGAGGGAGCCCATCACCTCTGTGGGCCACCCACCCCACTTGTGGGCAGCCCTAATTGTTACCAAGCTTTTCCTGACATCCAGCTTACATTAATGTCTTTGTAACAGCCACCTGCTCCTCCCGGTTCTGCCCCTGGGGCCATAACAGAACACACCTGATCCCTCTTCCATGTGGTATACCTTTAACTAATATTAAACCCTCCAAATACTTAAAGATACCTACATACATTTTGTCTTCTCCATATCCAGTTCCTTCAACCCATTAGCCTGTCATGATTTACCCCCCTCCTCAAAATACCTGTAGGATCTGAGTTGGAAAGTGGTTTAGAGGCCCTCTAGTGTAATCCATATCTGAACAAAAATCCCCTCTATTGGTGGTCATCTAGCCTTTGTATGAAGATCCCCAGTGAGGGGGTTGGGACACACTGGCTCCTAAGAAATCACATCCCCCTGTTTGGGATAGCTCTAATTGATGGATAGGTGTCAAACACTCACTGCCCAAACCAGATTAAAATGCTGTTGGGAAATATTTAACAAAATAAATAGAAATACAGAAGAAGATAGATGTTAATATGTGGTTTTCTAAACTAATGTGAAGCTTCCAGGATCCTTATGTACATTTGATGGCCCCAGTTTCTTTTTGAGTTTGACACCACTGCTCTAGTGGCTGGAGGATCAGTTGACCCTGGAGTCCTGGAGTTCATGTTCTGCCTGACTATGTGACTATGGGCGAATCTCTTACTCTCCACTCTCAAGATGGCAAATCATAGATAAATTACCCATGTGCTTCTCTGAAAGGAGTTTCTGCACTGAGAGTATCCTAAGCTGATAGAATTTTCTCTTTTCTCAGCACTTCTGGGAATGTGTCATTCTTTTAGTAGCTTGTTTGGCCCAGTCTTGACCCCATCAGCAAACTGAAGGGTAGATTAGGAGAGAAACTTCCAGCTTGCTGGCTGCCTTGTGCTCGTTCCATTATACCAGGTAATTGTTCTTCTTCTCAGTATCACCTCAGGATAATTGCTTGGTGTTTCCAGGAGCACACACATCTCTCAAGTCTAATGGCTTTCTCTAGGCGGTGACATTCTTTTTCTGCTTTAAAGACATGCTGAAGAGTTTTAGAGATTCAGGTGCAGCAGAGATTCCCCTTATGTGTCATTCTGTCCAGGCTCTTTCTTTTTTCCCAGAATGGGTCATTGTCAGGGTGTATTATGTCTTTGATGAAATGTTAGGATTCTGATCTCACCCCATTCTGGCCCCTTTTATGGTCAGGAGTCATATCTAACTTACTTTCACCTTCTTTTTCTATTTTTTTGTGCATTCCCTCATTGAGGTACAGCATGATCAAAATATTGTCATAATTAAGAGAGCGATCTTTGGGTCATTTAATGAGAGCATTGGTGCTGTGAAATTAGAGGTGCTGTTAGCTTTTTGCTAATTGTGATTAATATATATATATATATATGTTAGCAGAGGGGTGCCCCGATTGCCCCCTGCCTCACAAATAAAATTGGTCTTTTGACTGCATGAGAACATTCACTTCCTCTTGATTTTCTCCCATCAAAAATTAGTTTCCTAGAGCACATAACTGACTGCAGTAACTTACTTTGGGAGCCAAATAGTGATATTTTTCCCTGTCCTGGGGACTTATGTTTTCTTATGGCTTCTTTGAACTGTCCTGGAGGGGCAACAAGGGCAAATGGTCATTTCTTCTGTTTTAATAACTCAGTTCTAATAGTTAGGCTTCTTCAAATCCCAAGCAGCATGTTAGAAATGGCTGTCAAACTATTCTACTCTCAGCTCTTCTAAGATGAGGCATTTACTAGTCTCAAATGAAAAATAAAGCTTCCCAGATTCAACAACCAGACCTGACTGCTTACTCCATTTTTGAGTTGACCCATAGTCCTACCTAGCTCATGACCAAAACTATCGCAGCTTCTTTAGGGGAAAATTGGAAAGCACTGCATAAATCTAAGATGCTATTTTTATCATGGGCATTATGCTCTCCCCACCTGGGGATGGGCGCCTGAGGGGAGGCACCATTTTTTCACTGAGTCAGTTCCCCAGGGTGGAATAAGTAATCAAGCTTCTTCACCTTGGATTCCTTGTAGGTCATTTTATACCTTAACATCCAGATTTCCAAGCCTTGATCAGAACCTGTATCATACCAGGTGAAACAGGTCACTAGCTTCCTTGCCAGTTTCTCTAGGACCAAGAATAGTCTGTTACATTAATTATGGTACAATAATTTATCCTTAGCATTGTTCATCCTATACAATACAATTAGTATTTAATTATGTGCCTCAGTGAAAAGGAACATTGGTATGATGGAAAGTCATGGATAACCAGCCATAACCATATAGCCATAACCTCCAAAGAAAAGAAATTTGCCATGGGAAATGGGGCAATGATCCTAACCCAGCTTATGAGTATAGAATACACCTAAGGTTCTTGGGTAATCCACATTATATGTTATCTGCATGCATAATTAGAAGTTGACAACATATGGTCAGTTTTATGGTAAACAGTTTTACAAAAAGCTGTCTATAATTTCGTGGCTTCCTTGTCGTGACTTGTACTGATCAAAGTCATTGACTCATTTCAGATCACTGTAAGCAGCTTAGAAAGACCTAGGTCTAGAAAAAATGACAAGCTAGAGGCAAAGAATTATGAGTATAGAAAACATTCCAGAGAAAATGGATTAGAATAGGAGTCTAGAGTATTGCTTAAAAATGCAATGAGAAAGAATACAAATTGTGGACATTATTGGAAGGGTCCTGGGGCTGGCAATATTAGGGGAATAGGGCCAGAAAGTTGGGTTAGAAGAAGCAAGGATGATAGATGGGATTCTTATTAATGGAGCTCCACATTGCTCAGTGATTTCTCTGTCATCTTCATTATGACACAACACATTTATTAAGCATCTGATTGTGTGTAATCCTCTGGAGGGGGTTCACTAACACACAAAGACAACGCATAGACACAGTCCCTATCCTCCCTGACTTTATAACCTAAGGCAGATACATACTGATCTGGAATCATGTGGAAAACACATAAAAGGAACAAAAGAAAAACATCAGATCCGTGCATGAAGAGACTGTGAATTTTTTACTTCCTAAATCAAAGAGAAATTCATTGTAGGGCTTAGGGGCAGTGGTGGCAATTTACCATTGAGGACGATAGCTGCAGAGCTGGAAGGGGCCTTGGGGGCCATCTTTTCCAGCATCATTTCATATGTGAGGAAACTGAAGACCAGGAAGCTAATTAACTCACCCTGGGTCACATAAGAAGTATACGTGGGGGAGGAGGGGAGAGGGGAAGGGTTTGAGCCCAGGCTGTCTCCCACTGGACAGAAATGGAACCTGTAGAAGTGTCACTATTGATCATGGCAGGGGGTAAGGGGTTGAGATGCCTGTCTACCTCTGCTTTGTGCTCTGACGCAGGAGATCCCACTCTCTTTCTCTCTTTGCTTCCCACAGTCCCTGCTCAGCATTCCGGGTTCCCCATTCCTTTCTCGCCACAACAGCAAGAGCAGCATCTTCAGTTTTAAGACACCTGGCAGGTTCCGAGATCCTGGTTCTGAAAATGAGTTTGCAGACGACGAGCACAGCACTGTAGAGGAAAGTGAAGGCCGTCGAGACTCGCTCTTCATCCCTATTCGGGCCCACGAGCGGCGTAGCAGTTACAGCGGCTACAGCGGCTACAGCCAGGGCAGCCGCTCTTCTCGCATCTTTCCCAGTCTGCGACGCAGTGTGAAACGTAACAGCACAGTCGACTGCAATGGAGTGGTGTCCCTCATCGGGGGGCCTGGGCCCATGGCACCGGGGCGTCTTCTGCCTGAGGTGAAAATAGATAAGGCAGCTACCGATAACAGTGTAAGGAAGTAAATGGATAGATCAAGGCTAGGCATGGCAGTCTCTCCCTTTCTGCCCCTTGTTTTCCAGGCCTTCTTTCCTGCCTGCCCTTGATGTCTCTCTTTTTATTTGTGTGAGTCCTTCTGTCTCAATACATTTCTCTATTTTCTTTTTATTCTTTCTGTCTTCATCTCTCTGACTTACCCTTTCCATCCTCCTCTTCTTTTATTGTCCATTATTTCCCTGTTTTTCGTCTCATATTCCTTCTTATTCAACATTATCTCTCTGTTTCTTTCTGTCTTCTTCTCCCCCACCATCCTACCCCAAAATTCACTTCTGTCTTCGTTTTTCCTCCCTCTGTCTTTCTCTCTCTCTCTCTCTTTCTCTCTCTCTCTCTCTCTCTCTTCTCTCTCCCCTTTTTCTCCTCTCTCCTCTCCTATCTTTTCTCTCTCTCTCTCTCTCTCTCTCCCTCCCTCCTTTCTCTCCCCTTTTTCTCCTCTCTCCTCTCCTATCTTTTCTCTCTCTCTCTCTCTCTCTCTCTCTCTCTCTCTCTCTCTCTCTCTCTCTCTCTCTCTCTCTCTCTCTCTCTCTCTCCCCCTAGCTTCTCACTTGTTTTTTCCCCTTGTTTGTGTGCCTGTCACTTTTAGTTCCCTCACCTGCTTTGACTGAATGCCTCTGGCCCAGCGATGATGCTCTGATGGAATGAGATTGGGTTTGTCACAACAATGACAGCGTCTGAGCCAATTGAAAACTATCACTGCCTCTTCTTCCTGAACTAATTGTTTTGGTCCTCCTAGGAAAACAGCTTGGAATTTAAAACTTCTCTTATCTAAAAACTTTTTTTTTACTGCTTCATTAATTTTTACTAATTCTTAAGTCTTCTCCACATGAATGAGATAAGATTATCCAAGGATGACTGAGTGTTATATGGGAAGGCAGGAGATAAAAGAGGGCAAAAATAGGATGATCAACATTAAACAGGGTTTTCAAAAGGGTTTGAAAGAGAAAAGACCCAACAGGAGGAAAAAATGGAAAGTTGGGGCAGGAACACATGATCTACAGAGGAAGAAGGAAAGAAAAGCAAAAGACGAAGTATAGAGATGTTAAACTGCAAGAGGAGTTACATGTACATGTATAAAATCATCCATGACTTGAGATTAAGCATATTTGTTGAGAAGTCAGGATACTTCCAATTTTATGGAAGCCATCTTTCCTGTCCAGTTTTTCAATTCCAAGCTGTTTAATTTCTTTTTTTTAATTTTAAATTCTTGGCACCTAATTAGCCCTGGTTCCTCCTACCTCTTGCTTCCTGACTTTCCTGTCTCCTCCCTCAGTTGGTATTAAACTTGTTAAAATAGCATGTCAGTGTACTTTGTTCTAATACCTTAGTTCCCTCTAACATGGCATGGAGACACAGCTCCTCTAATTAGCATGATGCATGTGTATAGGACAACTCGACTAATATGGATGGTTTGGTATATAGAATTGAATTTTTATTTAAGGCAGTTCCATTATTAAGGTGATATTCAGTGTACAGTTTGGAATAAGTTGGGACTCTGGCTTCCCTCAGCCCCCATTTTTTTTACAAAATGTAACTACTGATGTAGAAGGTTGTTGTTATTTTGTATGGCTAATCTTCAGAAATAAATTAAGTATTGCTTAATATGCCCAGGATCCCAGGTAAATTGAACAGTTGGCTTAAAAAAAACACTCTTGTTTGTCCTTTGAGTTCCATTTTTGTTTGGTTTTCATGAATTCTATGTCTGTAGCTAAACTTTGAATTCCCAGATAAATGAGGGAGAAAGTCAAGGAGTTGATAATGAAGAAGAATAGGACAGCTTTCAAAAATTCGTATTTTCCTATTTAATAGGAATTTCCCTTGTTGGGAGGAAGTGGCAAGTGGGGAATCAAGTTGAATTTTGGTAGTCAATAGGCCAGGTTAGATTTAGTAACTTTCTTCTAAAGAGAAGAGGCCAGAAAAGAAAATGGCCTTTGTTCTAAGAAGATACTTGAATCTCTGCTTGAAAGCGTAGGAGCAGGTTTCAAAGCAGCATGCACAGTGTGTGATGTGGGCATGAAATTGGGGAGTCAGTTTAGCAGACTCCTAGGGAATGGTTGCTGAGCAAGAGCAGGATGGGTATGGTTCAGGCTTTGGGTCAAGGCATTTGGCACATACTCTTGGTTGAATCTGATGACAATAACGTCAGCAGTTGTGAAACATCCATTCAAACTGGAGTCAGATTCAGAGCTAAGCAGGAGATCAGGACAGGGCTGGCATCCCCAGCCAGCTTCCAACCCAGGAGAAGATCATTTTTAGGTTAGATGTGAAAGGTTTACCGTGCAGTGAGAATGATCAGATACTAGATCTGGTCCTCTAAGGAAGTGATTAAAGATCAGAAAAGCAAAATAACCACAACTTGGAAGGGTGAGATATTTGTGTGTGTGTGTGTGTGTGTGTGTGTGTGTGTGTGTGTGTGTGTGTGTAGGTAGGGGCTTGTACCAGATTCTATTTGATATCTTGTTTTGCTGGAATTCAATGGGTAGCTTCAGACCTTTTGGCATTCTTGCAACCAAAGCTTATCATCCCTTTCCTTGACTGTTTAGAGTATATTAAAAGTTCTATTCTAGAGGTTCTCAAAGACTGGTTCAGAGACTATTAGTGATCTTCAGGTTGGTCCTATGTATTAATCTTTTACAATATCCTAAGAATCATGTATCTTTTTTTATTGACAGCTGTATTTTTGTTCCTGGCATAAAGTAAGAATTATATTTAATAAAAATTAGATGCCACATCATTGATGTTTCATTCAAAGCAATGCCATGCTTCCTATTAATTTAGATAGCAAGATCAAAGACTTGGCCATCTTGTACATAGCTGAGATGGAGTGGAAAAATGGGAATTGATAATATTGAGGAACTGGGAGGTTAGGGTGCTTAGCAGTTGGGATGGAAAGGAAAACTGAGCTGAGTACTAAATTCCTTGAGAAAGAGATGAAGATATCTTAGTGGCTAATATATAATTTCAAGTAGAATCTTGATTGGGTAAATAACTTTGAATAGAGTAAATCTCAAAGGAAGAGATGTTGCTGAGTGCTAGTGGCAGTGGGGAGCAAGAAATATTCCTGTTCTTCTTCCAGGACTAGGTTGTTGTTGGGAAGAGGGGGAGAGAAAGAAGGGTAATGAGAGAAAGTGTAATGTCATCTGGGGATAGCCAGGTCTCTGTAAGTAAGTAGAAAGAGACCAGGAAGAGGTCTAAAGTGAAGGGAAGTTTGTTCGTTTTGGAGTGGGAATTCCAAGGGACATAAGCAATGAGGCCAACAGAGTAGAATTGGGACGTGAGTGGAGTAGGCTTGAGATGAATAGGGATGAGAGAATGGGAAGTGGTTCTTGGGGGAGGGATTTGGCTTATATTTAGACAACTAGCTATTCATCAACACAGAGACTGGAAGAGGAAGAATTGGTGTGTCAGTCAATAGTACTTGTGCCTGAGTAGTGGTCTTGTGGATCTAAGTAGGAGGGAAGTAGATATGCTTTAAGGTTTTGGCTTTTTTTGGAAGGTGGGGGGAAGGTGTAGGATTGCTTTCCTTGTATGTCCCCTTGCTACAGCATTCCCTGAACTCACACCAATTGATGAGGAAACTACTCTGGGAGTGTACTGGATGGTAGGGGGAAGCTTCTAGGATTAAAATGTTGCTGCGGGTAATCTATTACATAGTTAAATCATAACAGATAATTGACTATTAGCTACAAACAAACTCAGTCCTGAAACTTAGGCTAACTAGGAATAGTCTCTATTCTGAATTGACATAAAAAAGGTGACAGAGATGTGAGCAAAACTCATCTTGATGTCATCTATCTTATCTTTGGGTCTGATGCAATAAAGACTCCCTTTTTCATGGAATCACTTAGACAAAGATCTGTTTCCTGGGGCTTTTCAGATCTGCAGTGCATAAAATGAGCCAAGGCCTATTTCATTTTGGTGACCTGCTGAAGGCCTCTTTGTAGAAACATTAATTATCCAGACAGAACAGCCCCCATTCTAGTTTCTTAGAAGCATTTTGTTTATTAAAACAATTTATCTTATTTTTTTTTAAAAAAAGCTACTTTTTAAAAAGCCATTTATATGGTTAACTCCTAGTTATCTGCAGTAATGGAAGTTAAAGGAATATAGACGATTAAAATCCATGGAAAATTTTAAAACTTCACTCTGATAGTTTCACTGTCCTTCCTTACCAAACCTCAAAGAGAAGTATTAAGGATCAAACTGCACTTCTTCAAATAGCATCCTTTCAGCTCCCCTGCCTTTTCTGTGGTGAGTTGCTAATTAGCTGGGTGATGACCAAAATATAGACAGTTAAAGAGAAGGGAAGAAAAGGACATGTGTAATCTGTGAATTGAATAACCATTCCCTGAATAACTAAGAGTCCGGTGTTTCTTTGGTAGATTAAGAGGTACAATTTGTCTTTTTTGGGGGGAAAGGAAGATTCATTTAAAAACACTGCCCTGAGGTCATGGGTGGGCCTGTAATCAGTGTTATGTCACTCAAATGTAGGTAAGTTACTTACTGGTCCTTGTCTTTATAGAAACAGGTTCATCTCAGGTGAAACCTGAAATGCATAACCAACGTATAAAGTATAAGATTGTTTCAGTTTCCACTTCAGAACTTCTGCAGAGGGTATAATGGGCCTCTTATGGACTCTCGTCTATTTCTTTTTATCAGACAAGTGACTCGGATTCCATTGGCTGCCCTAGGAGTAAGAAGATATAATTTTGTGGCTCTATTGGTATTTTTTCCCCTTTTCAGAAAAATTAGATTCATTGATTGATTCCTAGGCATAACAAAGAGAACTATGGTTATTTAGAGTATAGGATGATTTATTCTTCAGACCTGCCCCAGATAATTCTTGTTATACCTGGCCTTTCACTTTGAGAGGCTTCTTCTTCTTCTTCTTTTTTTTTTTTAGTTTTATTCTGCGTGATTGATTAAATCATACTTTTCAAGTTGCCCACAATGTGAAACCATGAAGGCTTTACTCCTTGTATTTCTGAGTTTCAAATTTTCCTGGCTTGATTGCCCTATTCATGAATCTCATTTTGCCTGTCTTCACTGCAGAAGTCATAAGCTCCTTATGGAACTATAGTCTGGGTGACTACAGATATAGATATAGATATAGATATAGATATAGATATAGATATAGATATATGGATATCTATATCTACATGTAGCTAATCAATAAACATTTATTTAATGCATATTGTCTGCCAGGCACTGTCCTAGGTGCTAAGAATATAAATACAAAAATGAAAGAGTCCCTGCCCTCAAGGAGCTCATATTCTTACAGAGGAGACAAAGTACACTTATACTGGTATATACAGATCATGTTGAAAGCAGGTATGAAGGAACCTTGAGTTGATGTCATCAGGGGAGGTCAGGGGAGGGAGAGGAGAGAGGAGACCTAACAAGCTGTAAAAAATCAGAAAACCCCTTTGATAGAAGGTCGTGCTTGAGCAGAGTTTTGAAGGAAACTAGTGATTCTAAGAGACAGAAGTACCCTCCAAGCATGGGTGCCTCACATGCAAAGGTATGGAAGTGAGAGATGTAGTATCACGTTAGGAGCAATATTGTGGGATCACAGAGTTCCAGGGGAACAGAGTATATTTGGTTCTAAAAGTTATAGGGAACCACTGGAGTTTATTAACTAGGAAGGTATAACTAGGAAGGTAACTTCAGGAAAATCATTTTGGTAGCTATGTGAATAATGATTTGGAACAAAGAGAAACTTGAAATAAGAATACCAAGAGCAGGCAAGAGGCAATGAGGACCTGAACTAGAGTAGTGTCTGTGCAAGTGGAAAGGAGGGGAGAGATGCCAGACATTTGGAAATAGAAACAGCACAAGTTGGCAATTGCTTGAATTTGTGGAGTGAGAAAGAGATGTCAAGAATGACACACTGAGGTTGTAAGCTTGGATCATAAGAATGATGGTGGTAACCTAAAAAGAAATAGGAGAATTTAAAAGAAGGGGTGGGTTTGGGGGTAAAGAGGAGTCCTGTTTTAAACATGTTGAGTTTGAAACATCTAGTAGGGCAATTAGAGACACATGACTGGAGCTCAGGAGAAAGATTGGGACTGGATATATCAGTCTGGCAGTTATCTTCATAGAGATCATAGAATCCATGGGGTCAGCAAGTAAGAGGGTAAATAGAGAAAAGAGAGAAGTTCAGGGCCTAGCCTTGGAGGGTGCCAAAGTTAGTGGACATGACCCAGATATTGATCCAGCAAAGGAAACTGAGAAGGGACAGTCAGATGACTAGGATAAGAACCAGGAGAGAGTGATTTCATGAAAACTGGAGAAAATATCCAGGAGAAGAGGACATACCAGACTGGGAAAGGCGTCAAAGAGGTTATGAAGGATGAGAATTGAGAAGATGCCCTTAGAATTGGCAGTCAAGACAGCACTGGTGACTTTGGAAAGACTAGTTTCAGTTGAGTGATGAAACCAGAAGCCAGATTTCAGAAAGTTTAGAAGAAAACGATCAGGTGGGAGTAGAGGCAAAGAAAGAAGACAGCTTTTTCAAGGAGATAGACAGGAGAGATACGTAGGATGATAGATGTATGTTATGTGTAGATAGTATAAGATGATAGCTATCAAGTATGGGAAGACCTAGTGTGGATTTTTTAAGGTTGGAGAGAGACTCAGGCATGTTTGCAGGCAGCAGAGAAAGAACAACTAGATGAAGGAAATTAAAAATTAGGTAGGGGCCTTGGTACTGGGAACCATCCTCTGGGGAAGGAATTAAGGGTACATGGTGTTAGCAAAGGAAGGGCCACCTCTGCATCAGAGACTAGAGTAAAGGATGGGATCATTAGGGATGATGCCAAGGAGTCAATCACTTTTTGTGAAAGATTTTTGTATGTGGTACATTGGTTAACTTCTAATGCCATGTCTGAAGTGCTATAATATGCATTTCAGCTCTGAAGCAAAAAAACAAAAACAAAAACAGAAAAAACTGTGGGATGGTAGATTTCCATTTATCTGTTTCAATTTGAAATCTAAACTTATTTTAAAAAAACAATAAGCTGAGTTTCCCCAGGGAAATCTACTAAAATTTGAGGAGAACACAAATGCTTGCCATCTGCACAATATCTTAGGAAATAGAGAGAGAAGCCAGATGGCATAGCAGGTAGAGAGCTGGCCCAGGAAGACCTGAGTTCAAGTTTGACCTCTGACACAAACTGGTTATGTGACCTTGGGCTAGTCACTTAACTTCTCGATGCTCCAGGCAACTCTCTAAGTATTACAGAGGAAATGCCAACCTTCTTCAGTAGGAGTTCCCTCATCAGGGAGTTCCCTCTAAAGATGAAATCACAAGTCCAGCCCCCATCCCTGTTGGTCAGGAAATAGGTCTGATGGCTTTTTACATTTCAGGAAGACTTGGCATTTGGTGTTGGAAGAAATGGGAGCTGGTTACTTGAAATATTACCTTTCCAGCTTTTCTTTTCTTAAAAGTCCTTTAGTAAAATCACTGAAGAATTTGAATTCCCAGCGATCTTACTTTCTTTCTCTTTTTTTAATAGTATTTTATTTTTTCCAATTGCATGTAAACACAATGTTTAACATTCATTTTCTAAAAATTTTGAGTTCTTTCTTTCTCTTTTGGAAGCAAATATGACTACTCTGATCAGGAACAGATTTGTGGGACTGTAGCAGGTGACTTCACATATTCATTCTATAAAATTTCTTTAATTTCACTTAGAAGGGGTACAATTGCTGGGTGTAGTGGTACATGACCGTGTACTGCCAGCTACCATGGAGAGTGCTTTCTTAACCTGAGGGGTTCTGGGCTGCAATGGGTTCTGCCAATATCAGCACGAAGTTCAGCATCATTTTGACGAGCCCCTCAGAGAAAGGGGGCCACCAACCTAGAAGGAGGGACAAACCAGCTCAGGTCAAAAATGGAGCTGCCATGCTGATCACCATAGATCTTCTGGTACTTCAGGGTTATCACTGCAAACATGAATTACTGTTAATAGATGTCTAGAAGTAACGGTTTGGTAATCAGAATTGCACCTACTTTCTATGGCCATTTTGAAATGACTGCTTTAGAAAAGAAAGGGAAGGAAGAAGAGGAGGCTAATCATCAGGTCACCCCGATTTCTGTGGCTCTGGAAATCTTGTGCCTTAGTGCAGATGCCGGGAGCAGCAAAGGAGGATTTATTCAGAGAAATTCACTCTGTGGTCACCTTTGACACTTATTATACATATTCATAAGTATACAAATATTTGAACGTTAATATAGCCTGAGTTCCAGAGGCAGTAGTTTTCCTTCATAAGATCATGTATTTAGAGCTAGAAAAGACCTCAGAGGTCCTCTAGTTCAATTTTATGCATATGGAAGTTGAACCTCAGAGAAATGAAATCATTTGCGCAGAGTCACACAGATAATAAACGACAAACCTAGCATCTGCTAGAAAATATCTTCCTATTGACCTGAAAAAGTAAATCTAATGCATATGTTAGGATAAAGACATTTTGCTGTGGCCTAGCTTTTATTTCCTTTTCACACAGTAAGGGCCAGTTTGACTCTACTCAGTTCTCCTCCAGCCCTTTGTAAACACTTCCCTTCTCTGTACTTTGTATGTGTTTGTTAAAGATTCTTAGACTACGCTAGACATGAGCTACAAGACCAGAAGACGTTCTGGCTGGATTTTGAGCCACCCAGAGAAGCCAGTTTAGATGCAGAAAGGTAAAGGGTGTAGAGAGTGCACTAACAAGGAAAGCTGAGGTGCACATTTATTATCTTTTCCGTCCGTTACCACACGAATACTGCCCATGGGATGGGAATGAAACACATGCTCCTGGAGAATGGATTAATGATGGATTTCCCAGAATTTTTAATTTTGTTGATATTTGATCGCTGAGCAGCTTCAGTTACATGGTTTGGATTTGGCAGAACCTCTAGAAACTTCTCTTTTCTTTTCCTAGCCACAAGGGAAAAGTAAGATAAGTGTTGTAGCCTTTGTTAAAAACTAAATAGCTTTTTAAAAATGTGTTTATTTTGTCCGTGTTTCCTTATATTCCAGATTAAAGTATACATCATAGATAGATCGACTTGACAATAATAGTTATAGCAACCATCGCTCTAGTGTTGTTGACCAAGAATTTGCCAGTAGTTCTAGTCTTTCTATGCTGATGAAGTGAAACCAGTGATGTTTGGTAAGATCAAAGGCTGAGATGGAAGCTAAGAAAAATTTACATGATATAAGAATTCCTTGTATTATGCATATATCCAAGGCTAATTCATTTCTAACGAAATACCTTGAGATTGGGTAATGGAAACCCATGGCATCCATTCTTTTGAGACTAGCTCACAAGTTATTTAAACAGGTGCAAAGTCTGGTCTGATGACTCTCAAAGAAACTAGGTTGGTTTACCTTCTTCGTTTCCTAGAAGTTTTGTTCACTATCCAGTGGTCTCTGGGTAGCCAGATTCCTGAGTTCACTTAAGGATGAAACAGATTCCCCAGGGGACCCCTAACCAACTTAGTCTCCTTGGTCTAAAGACTATTGAAAGGACAGCTAAGTGGTATAATGGATAGAGCACCAGCCCTAGAGTCAGGAGGACCTGAGTTCAAATCCAGCCTCAGATACTTACTAGCTGTGTGACCCTAGGCAAGTCACTTAACCCCAATTGCCTTAAAAAAGAGATTACTGAAGACCCATTGTCAATGGAGTTAGCTCATGTAGCATATAGAGTTCTAAGACCAGCTTAGGAGATGAAATTAAAGCTTAAACCCATGCTAACACTTTGGAGTGTCCACCCACTAAGGCCTGCCCTCTGTGTTAAAAGGCCCCACTCACCCGATTTGGTAATTTTGCAGGCAACAACTGAGGTGGAAATTAAGAAGAAAGGCCCTGGATCCCTCTTAGTCTCTATGAACCAGCTGAATGCTTCATATGGAAGGAAGGACAGAGTCAACAGTGTCATGAGTGTTGTTACAAATACGCTGGTAGAAGGTATGTACTTTGTGATTGAAATCCAGGCAGTTTGGGTAAGCACACATGGGGTGGGGAGTGTGTGTGTGTGTGTGTGTGTGTGTGTGTGTGTGTGTGTGTGTGTGTATACACACGTGTGCACGCACGACACACACACACAGATCAAAGAACCAAAGAAAGGTAGAAAGATGGCATCCTTCCGACATTCCTTTTCTTCTGACTACTTATGGCCATTAGGATTTCCCCTTCAGATCTACTTGAGGAGCAGCTAGGTGGTGTAGTGGATAGAGCACCAGCCTTGGAGTCAGGAGGACCTGAATTCAAATTTGATCTCAGACACTTACTAGCTGTGTGACCCTGGGTGAGTCACTTAACCTCAATTGCCTCAAAAAAAATGTACTTGGGCAGTTTGATTGCATCTAAAATTGTCTCTGTTGAATCCGTTCCCCCACCCCACCCCCCAAAAAAATCCATATATATTTGTTGTGGGAATAGGAAAGATGAAACTAATAGCAGTCATTTGTTGCTAGACCTGTACCTGCAGTGACACTGCTGTCAGTGCTAGAATACCATGTATTGGGGTAGGTCCTATGTGACACTGCCTGGTGCAAAGAGGGGCCTAGGCATTTCCCCTTATGATGTCATCAGTCTTCCAGCAGAAGAATAGTCAGTCATATGTCACAAGGCTCCTTCCTTAGCCAGGTGTTTTCTTTTCTTTCTTCCAATTTTTTAATACATTTTTGATCAGTGATTTGGTTAAAGACATACCTAACCTGCTTAAAGACATTCCAGTGTTAGAATGATGGACTAAATCTAACACGACAAAAATTTAAGAGAGATCAATATAAATACCCGCACTTAGGTTCAAAAAATGAGCTGACTAGGTGGAGAGGGCCTATGCCAAAGGGTACTCATATCTGCCAGGGTGCTCAAGCCTCAGGGAGCCAGGGACATTAAAGGCCTTCACTTCAGGCCCTTAGCGATCAGGAGCCCAGGCCTTGCTTCATGTTCAAACTCTCATTTGCTCTCTTTATGCCTGTGACTCAGAGTCGTTATCTGCCGAGGTGCACATTGTTTCCCAGTTAACCTCCCCTCTTCATTCTCTGCCTCAATCATCCTGCCCCTTGTACTCAGTAATCTGCCGATAAGTGACTTCCTCTCCAACAGGACATCTCCTGACTCCGTTCATTTTCATTGACTGTCTCCTATGCCTGTAATTCTCTTTCTCCTCAGCCCCAACCTCCTGGTCCCACTTCAAGCTGCCAGCTAAAATCCCACCTTCTGAGAGAAGAGGCTTTTCCCAGTTCTTCAGGCTGCTGTCCTCCCTCTGTTGAGCATCTCCAATTTATCCTGCATACATCTTGTTTGTATATTGTTGTTTGTGTGTTTTCTGGAACTGGAAGCCTCTTGAAAATGGGGGCTGTTTTTTGCCTTTTCTTTGTGCTGCCATAGTTCCTGGCACCTGGCAAATATTTGTTGACTGACTATCCTCATACTAGCCATCATCCTTTGTCTACTTACGCAGCCACCTCCTTAATTCAGGTCTTGATCGTGTCTTCCCTGGAAGAACAGCCTCATGATTGGTCTCCTTTAATCTTTTCCCTCTCTAACCTAGCCTCCACTAAATAACTTTCCTATGGAATAGGTCTGACTTGATTACGCTTCTTTTCAAAAACTGTCCGTAGTTCTCTCTTTGCCTCTAGGTTAAAATACAAACTCATCTGTTTGGTATTTAAAGCCCTTCACAGTCTGGCTTCAGTCTTTCTCCTTTTCTCTCATTATTCTCCTTCTTATACATTCTTCCTTCCAGCCAAACTGTAGTACTAGCTATTCCCCAAACTTTTCATTTCATCTCCCACCTTTTTGTATTTGCACGTGCCTGGAATGTACTCCCATTTCATCTTTCCTTTAAGGCTCAGCTTGGGTATCACTTCCATGAAACCTTCTCTGACCTGACCCCCATCACACACACACACACACACACACACACACACACACACACACACACACACACACACACACACACACACACCCTTCCATGATTCATAATGCCCTCTCCCTCTTAAAGTTGCTCTCTATTAACTTATCTGTATGCATGTTATATCTCCCTACTGGAATGGAAGCATCTTAAAGGCAGGAACATAGTAGAAAGGAAGAAATTAGTGAAAAGAAGAATGGGGAGTAAGAGACAGAAGAGTTTCTTATTGCTGATCTTTTATTAGAGTGTCCAGAGGCATCCTGCCATAGCTGATGTTGACATCACCTGTCTGACTGGGACCTTCCCAAGCCATGACCCTGAATGAATTGGGCAGCCATGACTGTAGCCAAGGCTCTCCTTCCCACTAGGTTTAGAGGCTGCGTCCACCTCTGAAAATATCCGAGGCAAAGTGAGAGAATCATCTCACTTATACATCTGCTTGCCCGTTCCCTCCAAGCCAAATTCTTAGCCATCCCAAGCATATGGGGGCGAGTGACTGTTTGCAAGGTTGTGAGTCATTTAATAAACCTCCCAGTCCCTCTGGATTCTCTCCCAACTCACAGAATCCAAATGCTCTTATTGTGACAGAAGCAGGGAAAATTATCCTGGGCTGCAAAATCTCCATTCCCAATGAACATGGACAAGGGAGCTGGAGGATACCCTCTGGAATCCCCTTTATGTTTCTTTAGGATATGGGAACGCCTACTTCCATCTTCAGGCTGGCAAAGAGCCAGACCCAAGCTCCCCATGCACTATGGCAATTCTGAAATGAGAAGTCACCACTTCAGTCTCTAGTTTCCACATGCCAGCAAACAGCAGACGTTTAGAGATTTTTAAAAAAGGGAATGGACCCAGATTCCAAATATGTACTATAAGAATTTATGGAAATGAGAGCCTCTTTTTCCCTTTCTTTTTTGGGAAGAAAACTATATTTACCTTGGGGAGGGGTGAGTTCTATGGAAAGGAAGCCAAAGCAAAGTTGTTTTTTTTTTTTAACAGACTTCCTTCCCCACGCAGACTCCCACATGGCAGCACTGTGGCCCTAAAATCTGTCGAACCAAGGCAACCATTTTCCTAGCAACTAGCAGCCAGTCAGAAATCCCAGTCAGAGCCACTTCACTTAAAATAAAGCTATTACCATGGGTACCTCCTGGTCAGAATAAAGAAAGACTTGTTTTGTTCTTGGTCAAATAATAGAGAACTCCTCCCCCCAAATATCAGATTCAGTTATCTGCATCGGGGAGAAGGGAGCCTATAAATTCATTCTTATAGAAATAGCATCTTTTTCCAAGGACAGTTCAGCTTTCAAAACTGTGCCTTCAAGAGACTATTGTTTGGTGTTTACGTCAGGTATTCTATGGCGACTCTGTAGACTAAGGCCTAAGAAGAAGACAGAGAAGAAGAAGAATTATTAACAATGCCTGACAATGGTTTGGCATTTTTAGTTTTCACAGGGCTTTGATATCAAGATTCTTTCCATTACTTCATACATCCTAATAAGATTCCCTGTGTCTATAGAATTTGGTCAATGATGACAAGGGATTAGTATGAAAGGCACCTTAAAACTTCTTCTATCCAGTTTTCCTGAATACAGGACCCCCTTCAAAGTATCTGTGACACAGGGTTATCCAGCCTCTCTCTGCCTGCACAGTTCTGTTCATAGGAAGCTTGCTGCTCTTGAAAACAGCCTATTCAGTCATTGGATAATTCTATTAAAATGTTCTTCCTTATATGGAGATAAAATCTGCGTCATAGTAACTCCTACATGTAGGGCTAATTCTTCCCACAGAAGTCACATGGAACGTCTGTTCCCTTCATATGTGACAACTCTCCAGCGATTTTAAGACAGCCATCATGTCCTTCCCCTGCCTACACCTTTTCTTCTCCGGGCTAAAAATCCCCACTTCTTTCTACCATTCTTTACATGATATGGCCTCCAGATTTAGGATCACAGGATTTAGAACTGGAAGGAACCTTAAAAGTCACCTAATCCAATCCCCTCATTCAACAGGCAAGGACGCTTATCTATGAGTCCGAAGAGGAAGTTGGTCGAGGTCACAGATGACAAATAGCATTTAATAATTAGTGTTTATATGATGTTTTAAGGTTTGCAAAGCTCTTTACATATATTATCTCATTTGATGGTCACAACAGCCCTGTAAAGTGGGTGCTTTTATTATAATCTCCATTTTATAGATGAGGGAAACTGAGGTTGAGGGAGGTTAAGTGACATGCCCAGGGTCACCTATCTAGTAAGTGTCTCAGGTAGGATTAGAACCCAGCACTCTGTGCAGAGCCCTTCTGTTCCCACTGTATTGCCTTCCTGGTCACCCCTCACATTATACACATCAGTGTCCTTCTTAAACTTAAATTCTAGATTCCAGATTAAATTCCAGATTAAAATCCAGATTGAATTCTAAAACTTAAATTCTTCAATTCCAGACCAGACATAATTCTGATATAGCACAGAGTATGGAATGCAATAAGAGTGTTTTTTTTTCTTGATGGGAATATCATTCCATCAAACATAATCCATGATTACATTTGTTTTGAAGTAGTTGGCTTTGTTTTTGTTTTTGTTTATTAGCAACCATATCTCCCTGAGCTTGTGATCAACTAAAATTTCAAAATATTTTTTACCTAAACTGTTTTAAATATCTTGTCCAACATTCTTATCTAATACTTTTTTAACCTAATGGATTTGTCGCTATTAAATTTCATCTTAAATTTTTAGTTTGGACTCCTTTTTCCAGCCCAGTGATATCTTTTTTAAACCTTAGTCTGTCACCTGATTAATTAATTAGACAAATTACATAAGCTTTCTGAGCCTCAGTTTCATCTTCTTCACATTATAATCTCTAAGGACCCTTCCTACTGTAAATTTGTGATCTTTTTAATTAAACCATCTCAGTTTTGTGTTATCCTCAAATTTGACAAATATTCCTGCTTTATATTTATCCAAACTGTTTATAAAATGTCTTTTAAGATAGGACCAAGGATAGCCTTATGATACCTAATTGGAAACTTCTCTTCAAGTTCAAATTAATCCATTAACACTTTTTTTTAAATATTTGTTTTATTCAAGCAAGATCTACCTTCTCACTCTCCTACCCCAATTCTGCTCCCCATCCCTACCACCATCACCATTTGAGAATACATGAAAAACAAAAAATTAGAAATATGTATAGTCAAGAAAAAAAATTTCCAAATGGTTATGTCCAAAAGATATTTATTTCATTCTGTATTCTGAGTCCTTCACCACTCTATTAAGAGGTAGGTTGCCTGTTTCCTCATTAGTCCTCTAGAATTCTGGTTGGTCATTACATTGATATGGGTTGAGCATAATAATATTCCATCCCATTATATGCCATCACTTGTTCATTCATTCCTCAGTTTACAGGCACCCCTTTGGATTCCCATTCTTTCCCATATCCAAAAGAACTATAAATATTTTTATGTATTTTTTTTTCCTAGAACTTATCCCTCCCTTAATCTACCTTCCCTCTAATTCTCCCTCCCCACTTTTCCCCTTTCCCTCCTGTTTCCCTGTTGAGTGAAATGTACTTTGGGCCCAACTGTGTATATAGTTTTCCTTCTTTTGACCAGTTCAGATGAGAGTGAGGTTTAAATATTAGCCCCTCTGCCCATCCCTTCCTCCTTGTTTGTATGGAGGTCTACTTGTCACCCTGATTATTTCCCTTTCTCCTCCCCCAGTGTATTCCTGTTTTCCTCTTTCCACACATAGTTATATGCATGTTGTCTCTCTATCATTAGATTGTAAGATGCTTGAGAGCAGAGACTGTCTTATACCTTTCTTTTGTATTCTCAGCACTTTGGATAGTGCCTGGTACACAGCAGGTAGTTAACAAATGCTTATTGACTGACTGAATGATGATTTACATGATTACTTTTCTCCCTGAAATTCCTCATGAACAGGCCTGCTATATTAATGTTCTTAAGACACGATTTTGACTTGCCATTTACCTTCTCAGATGCTTTCAGTGGTTCCCTGTTTCCTACAAGATAAATTCCCAATTCTGTAGTCAGATCATTCAATTTCTTTTGAGATCTAGTAATCTATATTATACTATTCCTCTATACATTCTTTAGCCAAGCTGGAAAACTTTACATCTTCCCCAAACAATACTAGGCTTTCCCACTTCCATGTCTTTGCTCATGCTACTTGAAATTCCTTCCCTACATATTCAGTGTTCATGGTTCAACTGCACCAGCATAATAAAAATGACAATGCTACCTAAATTAATTTATAGATTTAGTGTTATACCAATTAAACTACCCAGGAGATACTTTATGGAGCTAGATGAAATAATAACAAAATTCACTTGCAAGAACAAAAGGTCTAGAATCTTAAGGGAACTAATAAAAAGAAGTCGGAGTAAAGGTAGAAAAACACTTCTAGGCTTCAAATTATACTATAAAAATATAACAATTAAAGAACAGAAGATCAGTGGAATAAGCAAGATAAGGAAAAATTGGAAAACACTGAGCTCAACAGCCCAGCGTTTAGTAAACAGGAAAACATAAATTACTTGCAAAACAACTCACTACTTAATAAGAGAGGCTAAGAAAACTGAAAAACTGTATGGTGGAAATTAGATTTAGACCAACAGTTTACACCATTTACCAGAATAAGCCCAAAATGTATATGCAACCTGAATATCAAAGTTCATATCATAGCAATATTAGAAGAGAACCTGATCAGGAATCTTTCAAAGCTATCTTGGGGTGGGGTGGAAGAGGAGGATGCAAAGAGGGGGGACTTGTTAACCATGCAAGGGCTTGAGGAAATAACAAAACAGATCATTATGGTTACCCGATATTGAAAAGTTTTGCTCAAATACAATTGATGCAAGTAAGATAAGAAGGGAAACAATAAATGGGGGGACAATGAATTCTTTACAATAAATGTAAAGAATACAAAGAAGCATGGAAAGACTCATTTAAACTTATACAAAGTGAAACACGCTGAGCCATTCATAATCACCACAATTAATGAGAAAAACAGCAACAAAAAAAACCAAACTGAATGCTGGGTAAGTGTAATAACCAAGCTTGACCCAATGAAGAGATGAGAACTCAGCTCCTTCTCTTCTGTGCAGAAGTGGGAGACGATGATTGCTGGACATTCCATAGACTGTTGGACTTGGTCGGTGTGTTGATTTGTTTTGCTGATTTGTTTTGTTGATTTCTTTTTGCTTTTCCCCCTCTTTATTTTTGTTATTTTGAATGACTATGTAAGGGAAACAGTATAGAGATATTGGGAAACATTCAGTGACATTTTTTCAATCCCTCCCTGCAAACTCATAGTATCTCATTCTTCAATATCTCCCATAACATCTAACACAATGCCTTCACACATTTAGAACTCGATAACTATTTTTTCATTTGTTTGACTTTCTGTTTTATTTAAGACTACCATATCACTGGCCAACTAAGTGATGTAGTGAATAGAGTGCCAGGATTGGAGTCAGGAAGACTCATCTTCCTAAGTTCAAATCTGGCCTCAGACACTTATTACTTGTGTGACCCTGGGCAAGTCACTTAACCCTGTTTGCCTTAGTTTCTTCATCTGTAAAATGGGCTGGAGAAGGAAATGGCAAACCACTCCAGTATCTTTGCCAAGAAAACTCCAAATGTGGTCACAAAGAGTTAGACAAGACTGAGAACAACTGAACAACAAACTGTATCACTGGTGTGTGTTTATATGTAACCTTGTGTAGGTCATTCTAATTCTTTTCATTTAGTGGAACAAAAACTGTGTGAGGAGGGAGTTCTCTCCTAGTAGAGTCATTTGGGATCTTTAGGTGCAATAATTCCTCCTCATAAAGAATCAGGGAAGCTCATGCATTGTCAATTCAGTTTTACAGTTTATGATCACCAGGAATTGGTATTAGAAAGTGTACTTCCTTTTCCTTTACTGCTTGATTGAGAAGTTCCCTTTGTTTTTGCGCTACTACAGAGTTAGAAGAGTCTCAGCGAAAGTGCCCTCCGTGTTGGTACAAATTTGCCAACACTTTCCTCATCTGGGAGTGCCACCCATACTGGATCAAGCTGAAGGAGATTGTGAACATGATCGTTATGGACCCTTTTGTGGACTTAGCCATTACCATCTGCATTGTCCTGAACACCTTGTTTATGGCGATGGAGCATCATCCCATGACGCCACACTTTGAAAACGTCTTGGCTGTTGGAAATCTGGTAAGGCAGAGCACTGTCTCCTGATTTGGTCATTTAAACATGGGTTCTTTACTTGTTTGTTTTTTCTACAGGAGAAACCCTTTTCTGTTGTGTGCTGGTCACTACGGATGAGAGACTTGGGTAGAAAAGAAGATGATAGTTAATTGGAAGACTGGTGTAGTAGCAGCCACTCCTAGATTTGGGGATCTCTTGACTCCTTTCTCTTTCTGGAGAACTTGAGAAATGTCACTTAAAGTTACTGGCTGCAGACCAAGCCATGATGGGAGGCATGGGACACTAAGCTGGTTTCAGGAACCACAGCGAAGGGCTCTTGAGTTCTCATTCTGTTTATAAGACAGATTCCTCTATGTCTCTTCTAAATGTACCCCGATTGGGGCAGCTAGGTGGCACAGTGGATAAGCCCCAGCCTTGGAGTCAGGAGGGCCTGAGTTCAAATCCAGCCTCAGACACATGACATTTACTAGCTGTGTGACCCTGGGCGAGTCACTTAACCCCAATTGCCTTACCAAAAATGCAAAAAAACAAATAAACAAAAAATAAATAAATAAATGTGCCCCTAGCCCACCAAAATAATTTTTCTTCTAAGTTTTAGTAAGAAGTACCACACAGACCAGGGAGCTACTGTACACCAAATGATACTGTGGCTTGCTCTTTCCCCAGTCAACTCTTGACTACCCACTGACAATTATCTAGGGCAAATAATTAACCTAGAATGGTTTCCTTCTGCCTTCTAGCATATGAGCAACCAGAATCTCATTCATCCCAAATTCATCATAATGTTTGGCCTGAGCCAGAGTTGTGATTGGGAAGATAAATATGCTGAGGGGAAAAAGTTACGCAATGTATTCTAAAGTCAGATAGAAGTGATGATTGAATTGTTTTGCTTATGCTTATCTTCATTATTGAACAAATTGACTTGATGCTACTCGAATTAATTGTAAAAATTTGACTGAAGGAGATAGATCGTCTGATTTCCATCATTCCTAGGGAGAGACATCATAGGAATATCAGAATAACACAGAATCCGCTTATAAGACAGTTTGTTGCATAAGTTTTGGTTATACTTCAAGCTGGATAATGTCCCTTAAAATATCATATATAATTAAGGCCTGACATACTTTGTTGGGAATATAAAGGGAACATTAGTTTTGTCCCTAAAAACTAGCATTATAAAAGCATGCTGCTGTTCTAAACCAATGTTTTCCAAGTCAATTTGGCTACAGAAAATTTTTGGGACTTGAAATATGTGAAATTAATCCATTAATGCTTGTTTGGGGATATCTGGTAATATGGAATGCTCTCAAAGGCAGAGGGAAGTTGAGGAATTTTGGAGCACAATAAGTGAAATTAGGCCTGTTTTTTATTGGAAAAAAAATTTCTTCATTATATAAATATTTTTATATAAAATTTTATATTTAACATTTTAGAAAGAAAATATCACTAGCACTGTAATATTTTCTAAGAATCCCTCTTAACATCATGTCTAGTACTGGGAGTTCTGTAGAAGAGTTTGGAAAGGACTGTTAATTGTAGCTGATTGGACCCCCACAGCCTGACACAGTCACTTCCCCAGCCTGTAGTCTGAGAGCATAGTAAGGATGATTTAGAAGTCTCCTATATGTGATGAGGATTCATTGCTTTGGCAGCTCATGTGAATTGAGATTGCTCAGGATTGAACTCTTAATGTGCCAAGTGACAACTAATCCGCCTGTAGGTTGGAGATTACAGGACTCTCTTTAACCAGTTCTATATATTATTTATTAAATAAGTACTTCCTAAACCTTATTTAACTGTAATAGCTTATAATGTCATGCAAAATTATGAAAAGCCCATGTACATCTATTTCTGTCAGCCAGAGATTTACAAATGAGAGAGTTTCTGACTTTATGACCTTTGTTTTTACACTCTCCCGCCCCAGTCAAGCCATTATTTTTCCCAATTTTAAACAAGTTCATAGGATTCCAGGTCTCCAAGGAATTTTAAAAGAAGTTTTATTGCTTCCTTTTGTTTTCACATCCCAGTCACCCCACCGTAGAACTCTTCCTTATAACGAAGCAATTGAACAAAACAAATGAATATAGCAACCATGTCTGACAGTATTTGCAATTTTACGCACCCACAGAACTCCCTGCCTTTCTCCAGAGAGAAAGGAAATGTGTTTCATCATCTGTTTTCAAGGAACTACATTGGTCACTGTCTAATCTGAGTTCAGCCACATTTGAATCTAGTTTTCCTTTCTATCACTGTAGCCATCATGTACATTCTTCTTCTGGCTCTTCTTTCTTTACTCTGCCCCAGACTAGCAAATAGTAGTCTTCCTCTCAGTTCAAAATTTGAAAATGATAGCCTCCTGGGTGACACCTCCCAGGCTCATAATTCAGAAAAAAATCTGTCCCTGGTAAGTATTATTCCCATTTTTTTTAACTCAATCTAGTCACAATCTTTCAGAAGACCTGGTTTAGAGCCATCCATTAGTACAGAGACATCAAATCCTTAAAAATCACGAAGAATAGGTTCCATTGTAGACTATTCACCCACATTAGGACATATTCCAAGGTTAAAGCATCTCTGGTGGCAAGGATGAATCTAGGTGGTTCACCCCAACCAAATTCACAGCAGATTGACAAACCAGAATTTATTCATCTGTCCTGGTGGGATACAATTTTTTTAATGGTTAGCATCTGTACTGTCTTCCAGATATACATTATGATACCTGGGAAACCAGCTGAGCAAGCAGAAAGTTGTTTAGTCAGCAGAAAAAAAAAGCAAAGCAGAGGAAACTGGTTCATCCAAGGGGACATTTCATACATTAAACTACCAAGGGGATCTTCCTAGTGATCAGAATGCTATCTGATCTGTATCTCTTGACTCATGATTCTGTATTCTTGACTTTCCTTTTTCTAGTCCCCTTGTTCTAGTAAAATAATGTCACCTTAACCATGTTACGGTTCATTCCATCACAGCTTATCCCACGTTAATTACATTTTAGTCTCCTTGATGAGACACTTTGAAATTTGGAGAATGTCCTAATCTTATAAACAATATATTTTTTTAGAAGTTAGACTTTTAATGAAAAAAAATATTACTCCTCTTATCTGAATAATAGCAATACAAGTTCCCTGATCAGTCAGGGCCCAAGTATATAATCAAGCACCAGCCAACAATGCAAACTCTTGTATGCTGAAAACTGACACTTCAGTCAGGAATCTCAATATGTCCTAAATTTACACATCAACTTCTTTTACATTATTTATGTGGGAGGAAGGGTGGTGGAGGGGGTCCATCCTGTTGGAAGCCTGAATATCTCTGTGAATTGACTGTAAACAGGTGTGAACAAGGGATTTTAGAAGGTGATATAAAGAAAGGAGATTATTCTCTATTGGAATATGATATATGTGAACGAGAGTAAAGACCAATTTTCAAGGTTGAGAGATAATGAGAGATAATGATAGCCTTGCCAACAAAAGAGGAAAAACTGGGTGGAGGGAAGGCTTTAGGGGAAAAAGGCAAAACTTTTTCTTCACTGTGTTGGGTTTCAGGTGTCTCTGAGATAGCAAAGTACAGATGAGTAATCTTAGGCCATGGCAGAGATAAGACAAGACTGAATGAAGGGGCCATCTTGGTGTTTCTTGGGCAAGTTTATGTTTAAAGATAAGTAATTAAAGCATTCTAATTTAAACATCTCTGTTTTCCCCTCTTGTCCTTCTGTTCTCTTCTCCTCTTCCTTAGGTTTTCACTGGAATTTTCACAGCAGAAATGTTTCTGAAGCTCATAGCCATGGATCCCTACTATTATTTCCAAGAAGGTTGGAACATTTTTGATGGATTTATTGTCTCCCTCAGTTTAATGGAACTTGGTCTAGCAGATGTGGAGGGGCTTTCGGTGCTGAGATCTTTCCGTTTGGTATTCCAAATTTCTTCAGTTTCTTTTAAAGTTTTATATCTTGTTCTTACCTTTTATAAAAGTCAATCTGATAACCACAAAGTTCCTACATTATACTCTACCCTCAGAATCCAAGAGATGGAAAGAACCTCCAAGTTCATCCAGTCTGAATCCTTAATCCTGTATCCAGTTTCTTTTGAGTTAACTACAAAGATCTCCCAAACTTATGGTTTCATGCCAATATCCAGTCTTTTAGTTTTGGGGTATTTATTCTGTTTTGATTTTTGTGAAATTAAGATACAGGCATAGATTCTTTTTTAGTAATTCCTCGTAAGAGGCATTGGTTCCTCTATAAAATTAACAGCCAAGCATGACTTCTGTTCTAGGTCCATTTTTTTAAGGTGATCGTAGATATGTCTTCTTATAACCCAGTGGTTCTTAGCCTTTTTTGCACCATGGACCCTTTTAGCAGTCTGGTGGAGCCCATTCACCCCTTCTTAGAATAATGTTTTTAAATACATAAAATCGAATACTTAGGATTACAAAGGAAACCAGCTATGCTGAAAGTTGAAAATAAAGATGTAATTCTTTTCCCATTCAAATTCACTGACTCCCTGAAATTTATCCATGGATCTGCAAGAGGTCATGGACCCTGGGTTAGAAACCCTTGCCCTGGACAATCATCACCTTTAAATGACAATCAATTTCTCTCTACTAAAAAGACGAAGTTTTATAATCTTTCCAAGTTGGTTACCTCACCTATAAAATGAGTTTGAATAATATGTGAGATGTTAAATTGAGTTGAACATTTGTCTTGATTCCTACATCTTTAGGTAAGAAGAATTCTTTTTTTTCTTTAATGAAATAATGGTAAAATGACAAAAATGTGTCTCTGAAAGAATAACTGGTAAGTTTGCTCTGAAAAGTTGTCTAAAACCTAGCCAGGCAGAAATGATATCCTCAAAGAATCCCTTAAAAAGGCTGGGACATGCCAAGGTAGATAAAAAATTCAACTCTTATCTTCTCTGAACATCCTTAGACTATTTTTGGGTACTTCACTTTCCCCTAAATCGCTTTTGTCAGTTGGAGAATGCCTTAGCATTTGAAACTGAAGATGTTTAGGTCCTTTTAGATGGGGAATCCAGCAAACTAATGGAGAATAAGACATGAGTTATATTCCTATAGTTTCCAAGATTTTGTTTTTTTGACTCTTTGGTTGAGATCCAGTGTAGATCTTCCTTTGTTAATATTTCTTGTTATATCTGGGAGAGAAAAAAGAGAGGCAAGGACTGTGGGTAATCAAGCCCCCTATAAAGGGGGTTGGGGACCTCAGACAGATATGTAGGATACAGAGGACAGCCTATTCCTGCTCCTCAGTTTAGATCCAAGTAGTATCTAGCAAAAGGCGAATATTATCCAATTTGTGATGTCTCCTTCTAGCTAATTTCTTACATCACAGCCACTTATATTTTTACCAGAATAGTCACATATAGATAGTATCATGTAAAACAGATGGTTATTATTTTCTATGGCTCAGCTTTTCCTAGTTTTAACATAAAACAGAAATTCAAAACTTGTCCAAATATGTTCTAGTCATTCATTTTGAAGTTAATGGTCATCTGCCTTCTGAAGCAACTTGATGTAAGGTATAGAGTGCTTGAGGCAACAAGGCTTGAGTTCAAATCCCACCACTAATGGTTAATAGTTATGTGATCCTGAGCAAGTCTTTAACTTTTCTGAATCTCATTTTCCTCATCTGTAAAATGGGAATCCTTGAAGTACCTGCCTCACAGGGTGGTAGTGAGGCTAAAATGAAATAAGGTGTCCAAGAACCAAATAAACATCCATTGTTGTCATTTTGAACCTGTTGGTCCCCCACTCCTTAAGCTGTTGCAGATGTGGAACTACCTTACTCATAAGTGACTCTTCTTCTCTAAGTTGCTCCCTATGTTATCATCACAAAGATTTTGGCTTTATTTTCATTTCGGCATTTGATCTTTTGACAATCAGGAAAAGAGATCGTTCTTTTGTCTTTCATTGTAAAATTAGATTTTTAAAGCACGTCCTCAGAATTGCTTTCAGAAATATAACCCTAAAGGTTACCAATTTTATATGTTCAACATAATAGTGAGGCTATTAATAAGGCATGGTATTAATTTTTTGTTGTTCACACCTGTGATTTCATTGGTGTAGTGAACTTCTAGTGCAGAAGCTTCATCTGCCAATGCAAATCTATACCTGTAATTCAGCTCCATAGTCTGAGAGAGGTGCTTGGGATGCAAAAAAGTTAAAGGCCTTTCCCAATACCACACAGCTACTGAGTGCTAATGGTAGGATTGGAACTCAGGTCTTCCTGACTCCAAGTCTAGCACTCTACATTTTATATCAAGTTGCTTCACTAGGAAAGCACTAGTGAAGCAGGAAATATATAGTATAGGTAAATTATGTCTATGAACACGGAAAATTGGCCATTATTATTGATATTCTCTCCTAACATTTTTTAAGTGGGTAAGGAATCTCTCTTTACCATGCCAGTACCTTGGCTTCCCCAAAACCGGCCCTTTCCTATGACCCTCCTGTTGTCTTCTCAAGCAAAGTATCCATGGGAAAATTACTTGTTTGTGTTTAGATTTAAATGAGGCAAGCTGACCTAGCGGTGGAACACAGTCCTCAAAGCAGGATTCCTGGATTCTGTATCTCCCATGGACTCATTGTGAAAGGAAATCCTGTTATTTCCCTGCTCAGTGCCTCAGTTTTTCCCTTTGTGCATTGGCAGGGATGACCTACATCTTCCTACCAATATGCTCTATATAAAGTGCTGAGAGCTCTCCAGGGGCACTCAATAAGCAATATTTATACTTTTTTGGCCTTATTCTGTTTTCTTAGCTGTGGTTGGTAAGAAAGAAAATGAATATAATATTTTTTGGTGTTTTTTTTTTCTTTCTTAGCTCCGAGTCTTCAAACTGGCCAAATCCTGGCCCACATTGAACATGTTGATCAAGATCATTGGGAACTCAGTGGGTGCTCTAGGCAACCTGACCCTGGTGCTGGCCATCATTGTCTTCATCTTTGCTGTGGTGGGGATGCAGCTGTTTGGGAAGAGCTACAAGGAGTGTGTCTGCAAGATCAACCAAGACTGTGTGCTCCCTCGCTGGCACATGCATGACTTTTTTCATTCCTTTCTCATCGTCTTCCGCGTGTTATGTGGGGAATGGATCGAAACCATGTGGGACTGCATGGAAGTGGCAGGCCAGGCCATGTGCCTCATCGTCTTCATGATGGTCATGGTGATTGGCAACTTGGTGGTTAGTATCAGCTTATCGATCTCTTTGCTCTGACTCAGATGTCACTCACTACATGTGCTCCCCAAACCCCCTATGCTGAGCCTTTCTGCTGCCAGTCAAAATGGTGGCCATTCCTAGTCTTTGCTTTCTATATGCACAGAGAACCTAAATAGACCCTTTCAGCTAAGCTATCATGGTATTTCTTAGGGTTTCACCAAATGGAAAATGGGTTGCCTCATTAGATAGTGAGTGTCCCGTCCCTGAAGAGGCTCAAGCCAGGAGCTGGGTGGAGTACATCAAGAATGTTACAGAAAGAGATTGTGTATCAGAAAGGGTTAGAGGAGGGGACCTTAAAATCCTTGTAATAGTTCTAAGGCCCTATTATTCTAGTCCCATTGTTTACCTGCTCTGTCCTCACCACTGGGAGTGTGCTCTGCTCCTGCCTAGACTCTTCTGTAACCTCCTGGCTTTCCGCCAGTTCTCCTTGATCCCTGTACACACAGCTACCAGAATGATCTTCTTCAGACTTCTTTATAGTAATTGCATTCCCTTCAGAATTTAGAGTGGCTCCTTATCCTATAGGCAGCGTGAGTAATAGAAGAGTGTTGAGCATGGTGCCACAAGACATGAGTTCAAATCCCACCTTAGATGCTAGCTGTGTGACTGACCTAGGTAGCACAGTGCATAGAGCACTGGTCTGGAGTCAGGAAGGCCTGATCCCACCTGGGCCAATCACTTTACTTCTGTCTGCTTCAGTTTCCTCGTCCTGTAAAATGGGGATAATAATAGCACCTATCTCCCAGGGTTGTTGTGAAGATCAGAACAGATAATATTTGTAAGGCACTTTATAAACGATAAAGTGCTATATAAATGATAACTTCTTTTTCATTTAACCTCTCATTAGCTTCAGGTTCTTCATCTGTAAAATGGAGTCAATGGGGTTGTTGTGTAGAAAGCACTTTGAAAACCTTAAAGCATTATAGAAATAGTATTATAAGCCATTTTTATTACCACTACTAAACTCCTGCTCCAGTGCCCTGTCATGGCATGGCACTGACCCTGGGTTCTCTGAGGTCGAAACAGTGGAGTGCAGGGGCAGCTAAGTAGCACAGTGGATAGAACTCTAGCCTTGGAGTCAGGAGGACCTGAGTTCGAATCTGACCTCAGACTAAACACTTGACACTAACTAGCTGTGTGACCCTGGGCAAGTCACTTAACCCTGATTGCCTCACAAAAAAGAAAAAAGAAAAAAAAAAGAAACAGTGGAGTGCACACTTGGGCCAGTGCTATCAAGATCAGGAAAGGCCTTTGAACTGAGCTTGGCAGGTAAAGGAGCCATTCCAAGAGGTGGAGGTGAGGAGGAAGTTCATTCCAGCCATGAGGTCAGCCCAGACAAAGGAGTGTCTTGGGTGAAGAAAAGCAAGAAGGTCTGCTTTGGCTGGATTGTGGTTTGGGTATGTAAAGGGTAAATGATGTCTACAAGACCTGGAACCAGGCTGCAAAGTACTTTGGATGCCAAACAGGTGTTTGTATTTGACCCTGGAGGTTATGTTGAACCACGGGAGTCTATTGAACAGGAGAGTGACATGGTCACACCAGTGCTTTAAGGAGTATCGCTTCATCATCTGTGTGGAGACTGGATTGGAGAGGGGAGGGAGTGAAGGTGAGGAGACCAAGAAGGAAACTATTGCCGTAGTGCTGGAGAGTAGATAGTGGATGAACTTGAATTAGGGTAGTGGCCCTCTGAGAGGAAAGGGGACAATCAAGAAATGTGGTCACTTTGATAATATAACTCAAAACTCCATCACTTAGCTACTTTACCACAACTCTAAAGTAGTTTTGGGCTCTGAAGCCCAAAATGCCCTAAAGCAATCATTATGAATCATCATTTTTCAACTAGCTAGTGATTTAACCTTTTGAGTACCAAAACTTGATTTTAATGATTTTTAACAAAATTCTTCCAAAATAGATTATATACTCCCTTGCTTTCTTAAGTAGAGTATGCTGAAGATGACTTAACCCTTTCTTCATGACTCAGGACCATAACTATGACTATTATACTCTTAGCCTCAGGGGTCCCAAACATCTGCCCTTTTGAAGGTTTTATGTCAACTTCTTATAGTTTGATGTCTCTTTCCCTGCTATCAGCTTTCGTTTATTGCTGCTGTCCGTGTACCTACTTGTAAAATCCCCTTCTGTCTGCTGTAGACTAGGAAACCGGTTCACTAAACTTTTTAGAATGAAAGTGACAGCAAGTAGAGTTGTTCTGTGAGCAAAGCTCAGAAAGTTTAACGTATAGATTTTGTGACTTCTGTTTTGACTGCTCAGAAACCTGTTTTGGTTACTTTCTTATTCTCCATTTAAACCACTTAAATTGGTGAGATTGCTAGATGACTGGGTTCTAGATAGTTGGAATATCATTTCAGTATTTTAAAAGATCTGTGATTTCATCAGTGTATGTGTGTTCCTTCCATTGAATCAAATAAAAATTCCTCCATGCCTAAGGTAGATAGTATTTAGGATTTTTGGACTGGTCTGTCTCCAGACCCCTATCTGAAGGATTTTCAGTTTCTAGGTGGCTGTGGTGTCTTTGAGTTATTGTGTGCCGGGTCATCAACTTCAAGATCAATTAAGGAGCATTTTATTAATCACCTACTAAATTTCAGGCCATATGCTAAGCAATCACTGATGATAGAAAGACAAAAACGAAAACACTCCTTGCTCTCAAGAAGCCTCCATTCTGGCCGGGGGAGAGAATATGTACATGTATAAGCAGATATAAAGGAAAGACAGAGTGATTGTGGGAAGAAGCCATTAACAGCCAAGGGGATAAGGAATGGTCACATGGAGAAGGTGGCACGTGTTCTGAGCCCTGAAGGAATAGGGATTTTGAGAGAACTAGCCTGTGGTGGGAGAATGGGGGTGTGGGGAGGGCTAGGCAAAGCCACAGAAGCAGGAGATGGGATACTGGCTCTAAGGCAAAATAAGAAGGCTGATTTGGCTAACCTGCCAGATGCATGGAGGGAAGTCATGTACAAAAGGCTGGAAAAGTAGGGTGGGGTAGGTTGTGAAGGGTTTTAAATGCCAAGCGGAAGATTTGGTATTTGATCCTGGAGGTAAGAAGGTTTCAAGAGCGTGGAGAGGATAATTAAACGTATGGGACCTGATGAGGCCACCAAGTGTATATAGAGGGAAGAGGATCCAAGACAAAGTCTTGGAAGATACCCACAGTTAGGAGATGCATAATGATGTGGGGAGGGAGACTGAGAAGGAATGAGAGAAAGCAGTGTGATGAAAACTCCGAGAGCAGAGAAGATCCAGCAGAAGAGGGGTAGTCAACAGTCAGGTGCTGCTGCAGAGAGGTCAACAAGGAGTGAGAAAAGGCCATCAGATTCGGCAATGGAGGGATCTGTGGTAACTTCTGAAAGAGCGAAATGATCATGCAGGAAACCATATTGCAGAAGGTGAGGGGAGAGGAAGTGGGAGGCAAAGAGAGAAGACAGCTTTTTCAAGGATTTTGGCTGAGAAAGTAAGGGGATACATAAATAATCTCTCTCTCCCTCTCTCTTTCCTCCTCCTCCTCCTCCTTCTCTTCCTCCTCCTCCTCCTCCTTCTTCTTCTTCTTCTTCTTCTCTCTTTCTCTCTCTCTCCCTCTCTCTTCCTCCTCCTCCTCCTCCTTCTCTTCCTCTCCTCCTCCTCCTCCTCCTCCTCCTCCTCCTCCTTCTTCTTCTTCTTCTTCTTCTTCTTCTTCTTCTTCTTCTTCTTCTTCTCTCTTTCTCTCTCTCTCTCTCTCTCACACACACACACAAATACTGATAGCTTGTAGGGGTGATTTTTAATGAAACATTAAGTGTCTACTTAAGACACTATAAAGAGAAAATATAATTGTAGGCTCATTAGGGAGCTGTTTTTTTTCTCTGGCACTTGTTTGTGTGCTCCACACAATTGGTTTTAATAAAATAATTGGCTTGACTTAATCCTGTGATTCCCCAATTCTGGACAGATTTAGTAAATATGGTTGGAAGGACTGACCCGCTCAGCATCCTTGAACCTCTCTTCTTCTCCCACTCACTACAGGTACTGAATCTGTTTCTAGCCTTGCTTCTAAGCTCCTTCAGTGCTGACAACCTGGCTGCCACAGATGATGATGGAGAAATGAACAATCTACAGATCTCTGTCATCCGCATCAAGAAGGGGGTAGCCTGGATTAAGTTGAAAGTACATGCTTTTGTTCAGACCCACTTCAAACGTGAGGCTGATGAGGTGAAGCCACTAGATGAGCTGTATGACAAAAAGGCCAACTGCATTGCCAACCATACCGGGGCTGACATCCACCGTAATGGCGACTACCAGAAGAATGGGAATGGCACCACCAGTGGTATCGGTAGCAGTGTGGAGAAGTATATCATTGATGAGGACCACATGTCCTTCATCAACAACCCCAACCTAACTGTGCGGGTCCCCATTGCTGTGGGCGAGTCTGACTTTGAAAATCTCAATACTGAGGATGTCAGCAGTGAGTCGGATCCTGAGGGCAGCAAAGATGTAAGAACCAGAGGGTTGTCCTGTCATGGAAGCCAGGGGCTCAAGGCAAAGGGGCCTGATTTCTCCCTCCTTTATGGGCTGCTTTAGCTCTGGGCTGTTCTAGAGGATTTGGGGGAGCTTAAAAATCTGATTCATTTGGGGATTTGCAGGATCATCCTTAGAAAGGACCTGTATTTATCCACCCCACTCTTCACTGGGTCTTCCAGGTCAGAGATGACTTGAGGTCATATTGTGAGGCTAAACTAAATCACCTGTAAAGCCCTTTCTAAGACTAAGATTATACAATTTTAGAGTCGTGCAGGCTTTCCAAAGTCCACACCTTTCTAGACATGAACCCCTGGGACTAATCTGGAAGCAAATTAGCTGCAGAGAGGGGCATCATCTTTTGCCTGCTTTATTGATCCCAACTGAGAGAAGATTAGTAAATTCCTAAGTCCTCACAGTAATTGTGTGACCATCAGGAGTTACCAGTAATGAGTTTGGAAAATAGGAATGCGTATTAGAATTACACATGATATATGGTCCGTGCAGTATGCCAAGTGGAGTTGTCAGTGTGGAATGAGGGAGCTTTTATCTGAACTTCTTTTTTGTTGTGAAACTAGAAACTGGATGATACCAGTTCCTCTGAGGGGAGCACCATTGATATCAAACCAGAAGTGGAGGAAGTACCTGTGGAGCAACCTGAGGAATACTTGGATCCAGATGCCTGCTTCACAGAAGGTGAGGAAGGGTCTGCACAGGGCTTGATCTAGATGATGGGGGAGAAGGAGTCCCCTAATTAGCTGCTGTCAACGGCCATGGCTATGGAAGAGTTGGAGAGAGGCTTAGTGCCTCCTTCCTAAACTGTCTATGAATAATATAGAGATTGGAATAGTCTATGTTAGGAATGGTGTGGCCTGCAATAGGAGGAAAGTACAGGCCTTAAAGGGAAAGCCAGCAGTGTTCCTCCTAAGTGATTCCTCTCTGCTTTTCCTCTGTTCATTCATCACCAGCACAAAACTATGTGTGGGAAGGTCTTATGCCACGGAGGCCATTCCTGCTTGATGGCTGCTCCTTTCTTGTCACTATGTGGAGACTGTGTGGAGTAGGGCATACTCATCTTTGAGTCAGGCATTCTCATTCTGCTATCATGTTCTTGGTGGTGTGCTGAGACATGGCCTAGTTGGGATGTAAGAAGGTACACCTGGGTCAGCAACATCTGTCTCTCTGACATATTGCTTCCTGTGGTGTCAGGTTGTGTCCAGAGGTTCAAGTGTTGCCAGGTCAACATTGAGGATGGACTGGGTAAGTCCTGGTGGATCCTACGAAAAACCTGTTTCCTCATTGTGGAACACAACTGGTTTGAGACCTTCATCATCTTCATGATTCTGCTGAGCAGTGGTGCTTTGGTAAGTTGTAGGGGATTCTGATGGGAGGTGGGTAGCCATAAAAAGTCAAGAGAGGGCTTTATGCAATAGAATGATATAATTACAGTAGTGAGCAGAAAGGATAACTTGAGTAGCAATTTTCAGATTGAATGGGATCGATAGGAGCAAGGCTGCCATGTCTTTCTTCTAACCTAAGTCGTTCATTTAGGCATCAGTTGAGTATCTTCTGAGCAGTAACATTGTACTGGTATACTGTTTCAAAAGATTTATGTCCTCATCACTTTGAGTACTCCCTCCTGGAGTGCAGATTGGAACTCACCCATATTTTCTCATCCTGTGCAACTCTTGCCCATGTTCTCAGTTAAAGTCTTCGTAGATGATTCACCCAGGAGGCTAAAGGTACTTCTCTAGGTTTTTTAACATCACATGGATAAAAGGACAAACATTTGGGTATTGCCCCTTTTATCCCTCAGGTCCACAGAATGTTTACAGGAGGAAGGACCTCAGCAGCCATCCCCTACAAACCACATTCCCCTCAGAATTCCCACTGCAAAACACCCAGCAAGTCATCATTATCAGGAAGCTTCTTCCATTAAGACTGAATTTGCCTCTTTTCAATTTCTTCACATTGTTCCTAATTGTGCCCTCTGGCACTGAACAGAAGGAATCTAATTCTTCCTACAATAGCAACAACCACAATAATAGTTAGAATTTAAATAGCATTTTAAGATTTGCAAAATGCTTTACAAATAGCTCATTTGGTCTTCACAATTACCATGTAAGCTAGGTGCTATTATTATCCCCATTTTATAGATGAAGCTGAGAGAACTTAAGTGATTTCCACAGGGTCACATAACCAATAACTGTGCAAGGCAGGGTTCAAATGCAGGTCTTCCTGTTTCCATCCAACACTCTTATCTGTTGCACCACCTAGCTGCCTCCTCCATGCTGTAGCCTTTTAGGTATTTGAAGGCAGCCACCATGCCCCTTGGAGCCTCTTCTTCTACACACTAACCATCCCAAAGCCTTTCAGGTGATACCCAGATGGCACTGTTGAGGGCTGAGAGGTTGAGAGGTTGTGACCCCTCAAAGACCAGATTACAGGATGGGTCGTCTGGAATGAATTCACAGACTCAAGCATTCTTTAATTCAAGGTGGCAAAGATTTATTATTACGCTTTTCAGCAGGCAAGGATTCTTAAGGGATTCTGCAACCTTAGAGAGGTGCAGGTAAAGTTTATATAGGATAAAATGCAATAAAACATATGTCAAATATGCTAACTAGGTGATTCAGGGTGGGATTAGGGAGTGGTTAAGGAGTGGTCAGTTCTCAATTGAAACTCAAGATAAGAAAAGTCCCATTATTCAAGAGAGTATCTGGTCCCAGACATCCTGGGCCCAGTGATAACAAACAGGAAGAATACTGATCAGCTCTATCTGGTCCTGGAATTTGCTGACACAGGAAGGGGTGTTTTTAGTTCACTCAGAGAAAAAGATTAATTTAGGGTTTTGGCCCTCACTGGGGCCCAATTGATCCCAAATGATTATCAAGGGACAGTGTTTCTGAGGCTAGGGAGAAATTGGGACCCAAGTACAAGCACCCAAACATAAGCACCCAAGCACCCCAACATTCCCCCCTTAAACAGATGGGACCCAAAATCTTTTGGGGTTAGGGACGAAGGTCTCAGCTTCTGAAACTACTTCCTGCTGGGTTTGGGCGTAGACCCTCCTGGGGTCTCTCTGTTCAAGGGGTCGGTTCTTCAACCAGTGTCCGGAACTTGGCCAATGCCAGATCCAGGGGGTGATGGGTTGTGGTCTGGGACAGAGGTTGGTACCCAGCTTGAGCAGTCATCCAGAAGTGGAGGGCACTGAGCCTAGAGGAAACAAATCTGGCAAGGAGATTAAGCAGACAATGCCAAAAAGAAGGAAAAGGAATATAATCAGGAGTGAGACAAGAATAGGGGGGTTAACATAGAGAGAAACCAGGATCCCCAAGAAGAGGATGTACTGGTGTACTAAGGGTTGTTATGGATGTCTCACATCCAGGTGACTTTCTCTAGTCCTATTGAGCTCCACCTATTGAGAGTGGTTAATATACATACAGCAGGAGGTGTTGGCCAGGGCACAGATACCTCCACTAAGCAAGTAGATAATCCAAAGCTATCTGATTATCCAGGACCACATTTGCCAGGGAGTACAGAGGTTGCTGAATATCCCAGAGACTATAAGCTGTGTCATTTGCCAATTGGTGAATGGTCCCTGTCTGGTTTGAAAGAATGAACTCATGTTGTAAATGTCCATACCAAGGCATGAGATACTCTTCTCCCTTTTAAGATAGCAGAGAACATTGTCCCAGAACCCACACTTCACTCTTGTTCGGGTGGAGGTACTGGGTGTAGTAATATTGAAAATGGTCAGAGGTGGTGCTAAACACTGGGTGGCCAGAACAACAATCCTGGGGTCCTGCCAAGTAGCGGCATTTTGCTTTACTTATTCCCCAGAATCCTCACCACCTGGCCCACCCATCCCACAAAGGAAGGAGTATCCCTTAGGGGACAGATGGGATCTGTTTATAAAAGATACTGAGCATGGATGCCCCCATGGATCAGTATGATTACATGCCAATATTACAGGTAAGAGAGAAACTTTCAAAAGGTCAATAAGAGCGTTACAGCTAGAAGGGGGCAGTAACATTGTGTGTCAACTAGGAAGAGAAGGTTAAATAAGAAATACCTACTAGGAGAGTGGCTGGAAGAATTTGGTCATAGGTGCAGCAAGTAGGGAGTGCTCCCTCAGAACAGGTGGTACGGCTGGCAGAGGTAAAGTTCTGGGGACACATCACTGCAGGCATCATTACAGGTGGTGCAAGTCAAGAGACCAGCAGAGACATTTACAATCCCTCCCCTGGCAAGGGCCTTTACCTGTATAGTGGCCATAGAACTTGTCTCCCAAGCAAAGGAATAATTCTCTGTTGAGAAACAGGATGTTGAGATAGAAAAATTTTCCCATAAAGGAGTGGCCAGTACAAAAGGGTGGCAAAGACCTCTGAGGTTACATTGGGGAGGGGGCTCTTGCAAAAACTGCCTTAAACAAAAGAGGTTCCTAACTTTAACCTCACAACTGAATAGATACACAATCTTGTTCCACAAGCTTGTTTATCCTTCTCTAATTACACACCAGAAATTGAATCTTTTACATATGATAAATTCAAATACTACTTTTACACTTAAATCATGGGATGACTACAAATTCAGATCAAAACAGCAAGATCTCACATACTTATATTGTGCTGATGTCTTTTACTGACCACTTGCTCTGATCAGAGAAATCTACCAGGAAAAGGCAGGGACATGTGACATCCAAATATGACAGGACAGAATATCCTTAGCTCTGTTTGAATTCAGATAACAGTCACAGTTCTCCAATCATGCAGTATCAATTCCACATCATAGCCATAGGAATAGTCAGGTGGGAAACATTCCTTCTCTAGGGAACACAATGGGGAGACTGAGCCAGGAAGATCCCATCCTAGATTGAGGCTAAGATTGTCCTCACAGCTTTTTCCCGGATGCAGACATCCACCTGTTCTGAGTAGCTTGTGGCATTTCTGATACTGATTTAACGCAGATAATTATGCCCAAATTCAAACTCAAAACAAAATTAGTTATAGTCCCAAGAGCCTTTTACCCTAAACAGCAAGTTTCACTAATCACAGCTTAAAGCCAGATACAGTTAATTTTACACCCATGGAGTTGCAATAAGCAATAAAGATTTACCAGGACTCACATACATAAGAGATTTCACTTAACATCTTCTTTCTCAAACTTAAACTTGTCCTGGTGTTAAAGCCAATCATTAGAAATCATTTCTATCTACTGTACATAAACTTGCAACTTCTCAGCAAGTCAAGTTCATTGTTTAGGAACTCCAAACAAGTTCTCTTCTCACAGTAGATGATCTTGTCCACACAGATTTTTTCCAGGGACCTTGGCAGGTTTACAAAATAAGGGGAATTGCCTTATACCCCAGGGAGGGGCTAATCCTGGTGCCCCTGCCTGCCGACTTCTTTATCCCAAAGAGGACTGTTTTGAATAGGCAGAACTGATCTGGATAAGGCTTTTACCCAATCCCCACCTTTTCACACAGTAATCAATTAACAATTCTAGGTTTTAACATTAAAACAGTAACTTCAAATAACTTAGTTAACAATCTTGTAACTTTCATAAGTGATAGTCAAATTGTTTTAGCTATAAGCCCTTCTTTAATTACAGGTAAAGGTGGAAGTACCTAGTTTACTAAATGACAGTTATAAAACATTATAGGACAGGGTTAGCAGGGCTGACAAAATAATATAACTGGTTTTGCAGTTTTCCTACTGTAGTTTCTCTAAGTTCACACTTTAATAACATCCAAATTATGAAAAACTGCTTGAGAAAACAATACAAAAGTTTACCAATCTGATGACTCCAATTCTGTTGAATGCATTTCCAAATTTCCTTACAAAGAAAATCAGGCATCTCTTCACCATTGACATTGCATACTGGTCACATCTAATTAAGGAACTAATAACAGTAGTTAACATTCATAGTGTCTGCCCTCTACCAGGCATTGTGTTAGGTACCTTCCAATCATGTGAGATAAACTGAGATACCTTGCTTAATGTCACCCAGTTAGCAAATTTCAGATCCATACATTTTCCCAATTTACTTTACTTCCAAACACTATAATAAATTCTGACTTAAGCATTAAATTAAGAGCATCACATTTCATTTGAAGTATTACCAGAATGAATTAAATTACCTTTTGGTTGTGTTCTGGTACACAAAAACTTTTTTATGAGAGGCAGAAAAGATTGGGAAAAGATTGACCTCTTCTTTCCTCACCTTTCTCTCTTCCACATTTAACAACTTGGCCAAGGTTGGAATGTAAAGAGAGAGAGGGAGAAAGAATTTTTTTTTAACAATTCTCCAAAAGTTTCAAAACCTTTTTACTCTCAAACCTCTATTCATACTGTGTAAATAA